TTGGTTACACTTGGCCATTGTTAGGTGTTGTGCTTTAGAGCATCACCAAACAAACTAACCTGACTGACCTTACTACAGACTAGGGTGATGAAGAGTATTTATAGAACTCTTCTCCTAATCCCAAACAGAAAACCAAACACCTTTTCCCAAACATACAAGGAAAAGGTCAAACAAAGCCCAATCTCAAACCCAAACAAAATAGGCCTAAAACACAAAACAAATCCAAATCAAATTCAAGTCATATTCTAACAATCTCCACCTTGACTTGAATTCTCTGTCAAATACCAGATGTACCAGACACAACCAAAGTTGCCAGATGTACCAGACGCAACCAAGGTTGCCAGATGTACCCAAACGCGATACATATCGCCAGACATATCCAAATGCGATCGAAACCGCCAAACTCAAACGCAATCAAGATTGCCAGACTATTCCAAATGCGATTCATATCGCCAGACCAAACGCGATGCAAATCGCCAAACTCAGATGCAATCAAAATTGTCAGACGTACCAAACTTCTCCAAATCAGCTGTACCAGAATCTCTCCTGCCTCCAGATGCCCCTAAGGGCGGTCAACAAATCAAAACATGCAGCAAGTCCAACCCATGTTGGGACTTTCCATGCATAACCAACTTGGTGTTATTTCCATCGATAACACCAACATCAGATTTACTTCCAACTCCAAACATGCAACTCCAAATCGACTTCTCAATCTTCATACTGATAGCATCCATTCTTACTATCAAACAAACTCCAACCAAACTCCACAAAGCAAAACTTCAGTCCAGCGCCAAATTCCCAAAACCGCAACCAAAGGCTCTGATACCACTTGTCAGAACAGAAGCGTGGCAATCGATAATCCAGACCAACACGAACGAACACAAATTTAACGTGGTTTACTAACACAATATGTGCTAGCTAATCCACGGGCAGAGGAGAACAAATTTCACTGATTTGAGGAGAGTACAAGTTACAAACCAAATTCCAAACGGACAAACCAAACAAACTAACCTGACTGACCTTACTACAGACTAGGGTGATGAAGAGTATTTATAGAACTCTTCTCCTAATCCCAAACAGAAAACCAAACACATTTTCCCAAACATACAAGGAAAAGGTCAAACAAAGCCCAATCTCAAACCCAAACAAAATAGGCCTAAAACACAAAACAAATCCAAATCAAATTCAAGTCATATTCTAGCACGGTACTTATGCAATACCAGACCTGATATTTGTTATATTGTGAATCAACTAAGTCAGTTTGTGGATGCACCTACTACAGTCCATGAACAGGCCACACATAGATTACTTAGATACTTGAAAACCACTCTAGCTCGAGGCCTGTTTTTCCCTAGCAATTCTTCCACTCGTTTATCAGCATTTTCTGATTCTGACTGGGTTGGTTGCCCTGATACACGACGGTCAGTAACTGGGCTCTGTGTTTTCTTAGGTAATTCCTTGGTCAGCTGGCGATCCAAGAAGCAGCAAACCATCTCCAAATCTTCCACAGAAGCTGAATACAGAGACCTAGCAGATACAACTCAGGAATTGCAATGGATGACAGCATTGTTCAAACAACTTCCAGTCCAACATCAACAACCTTACACCATTTACTATGACAGCCAATCTGCAGTCAAGATGACTGAGAATCCCATACAGCACGAAAGAACCAAACACATCGAGGTAGATTGTCACTTCACTCGCGATCAGGTCCTCGCCAACAAACTGAAGGTTCAGCACATCTCCACCACTTTGCAGCTAGCTGATCCTTTCACAAAAGCACTCTCAGTTCATACTTTCGTCGAACTCATCTCCAAGCTCAACCTGAAGTCAATCCACATTTAGCTTGCGGGGGCGTATTAGATGATATAAGTCAAATTGTAATTTAGAATAAGTTTAGTATAGGAAGTATGTAATTAGGATAATATAGGTAGTAAAGGTAAATTAACCAAGGTTGTTATGACCATAACGGTCTTCCCTCCTCTGGTTCTTACTTGTAGACTGTAATATAAATTCAGCTTCTCAATCTGGATTCAGTACGTTTTCTTCTATTGATTCAGTAATAAAAAATCGAACTCTCGATCATCTTCTGCCTTCTCTCTCCTGATTTTTTTCTCTGCCTTCTCTCTAACCCATCTTTCCAGGCTGTCATGGGGGCTGTCGCTGGCACCCTTCCAGCGACCGGCAGCAGCCCTCCGCCCCCTCATTTCTTTTTTATTCTTTCTCCCTCTCTTTGCCTTCTCTTTAAATTTGTTCCTGCCATGTCTTTGCTTGGGTTTTCCTCGATTTAATCGGTTTTTTCTTTCCCCTTGGTGGGATATGTTCCTCCCCTTCAGTGGGTTGAGTTTTTGTCCTCCATTCTGTTGGTTCAGAGCTGGAGAGGTGTCCGATCTAAGTTGCAAAATGGTGGCCAGATCTATCACAGATCTGGCTTGTTTTCTCCTCTTCTTTCCTTTGTCTACCTCCATGTTTTCCCTTGAAAATCTTGGGATTTCGGAGATGGAGCCCTTGGCGAAGACACGGTCTGGAGAGCTTTGAAAGCACAAGATTTCTTCCCTCTGGTTGCTTCACCGGTCGTCGGTCGTTCTGATGGGTTCCCTCGCATTTGGACGGCAGAAGCTGATGGCGATTGGCTCGGGGTGGGTTGCATGGGAGGCCCTCTTCCTCTCCCTGCAAGTTCGGGTTTGGTGGATTCTCCTCCCGTTTTGATGAGAGTTGGCGGTGGTTGGTGGGGGTCGACGCGACTGTCGATTTCAAGTGGTGGTGGAGAGTCGCTGCGGCGGTGGACGTGTCCAGAGGGAAGCGGACGGTCAGCTAGGGTTGATGAGGTTTTGGCAATGTTTGGGTTTTGGACCGGGCCCTATTGGGTATCCAGTTCTCTTTTAGGCCTTTTTGTCTTGGTTCTGTTTACTCTTGTTTCCATCTGTATCTTTACCGGTTGGACTTGGCCCGTTTTGCAATCTTAATGAACTCATTTAAAAAAAAATTCAGTAATAAAGAAGTAATTCAGAAAACTAGCAGATGCAACCACCTACATAGCAATTGACCCTCCTCGACCCTCCTTGACAATACGGAGATGGTTAGCCACATTGTTCACAACGAGATTTATCTTTGATTATCATTATATGAGTTAATCTTTGTATATCATTCTCCTAGATTATTCTTCTTCTTTACATTTATAGTCTTTACCCTATATTTAAATTATCTCAAGGATATTTAAGAAATAGCTTCACTTCTGCCTCGAATTGAGATTGAAGAAAAGTTTATTGAATTTGTTTCACCGTTGAAGATTTGATTTTTTTCAAAAAGTGTAAATTCGTGCTAGAGGTTGTATCACTAGTATAATACGATTTCAAAAACATTGTTTTCTTTCCGAAATTTCTTCTTGATGTTAGCCTTCCAACTGGAGTGTGCCACTGACTATACATATTGGTTGGATAACAGTTAGGCCCGCGAGGAGTAGGTAATATTTTGATCCCAAGGAAACCCAAGCATTGATGCCCGGATGGACTTCTAGGTCTGCTCTGCACAAAGCTCATTGATTTCTTAGCAGATCTCGTTTAGTTGTTATCACAACCGCACCAACCGGATTAACCAGGGTATTATATGAATGGTTCGACAAGCGATTTAGTGAATAAGAGCTAACCATTAAATTGTTAGCAACTAAGGTTTGATTATCCGGTACGATTCAACAACACGATCATTGAAAACTCAGCAAACAATTTTTCAACATTTTTTTACAAACAATTTTTCAACTTTTAGTAGTCAATGATAAAGTAATATATGATGGAAAATAAAATAATGGCGGGGATGGGGAATATATGTTACAATCATATATGAATAATTTGTCAACAGGAATTAGTGCTTTCATGGGGAATTAGTGGGGAAGTGTATGATTCAACAGGGGTGGGGTGCCCCAGAAATGAAAGTCATTCTTATCATTAATCACCGCCCATGATAATTGCCAGCTACCCAATGTGTGAACCCCATCGCTCCATAATCCTCCCCGAAGGCGGAGACCCTACACCAGACGTGAAGGAAGGAAGCTACCATAATCCAACAGGGATCAATAATGGAGACAGGAAAAAAATACAGGATCTTCCAGTTGGCAATCTTGGTGTATTTGGTCTGATAGCGACTACCCATGTTCCAGATTTTGTGCTGTAATTGCCAACCAAACATTCCTTTATAGGTAAGAGAAGCCAGATGTTAGCTTGAGGATACTTTTGATGTTGGTGAGTCTTGTTTTGTAAAGAATGTGAACTAAGCTTGACAAAATTCGAAAGGGTTTCAGGCGCCTTGAAGTCACGATTCAAAGAAATTCGGAGCGGTCTATCCTTCGGGCAGCAATTTAGCATTGTTAATAATCTTTCTTTAGGAGGTTGTGTAGGCTATCGGACTAGAGACATAATCGAGGAGTTTACAAAGTCGTTGGTACTAAGTTAAAGGCTTGATGTCGAACAACATAGTATCAACTTAGAAAGAAACTGCAGATTCAGCAAGAACAACTCTCGTCCCTTCACTATAGTCACACCCATGATCATTCAAGAACCTTCGTTGCAAGCAAATTTCAGACGTATCACCATAATCAGCAAGAACCCTACTACAACGGCAAATCAATGTGGATACATCAATGGCCAAACAAGAGTTCCCCTGTATTCAAGCGACAACCCAGCAATAGTTCACAAACACCAGATCATTAGCTTCCTATTAATCCACAATTCTCATTCAAAGCACACAGCAGACCAGAAAGCTCAACTAGAACATCAACAAAACAATGCTCCAGCATTTCAAGTCAGTGTACACCACAATAAACACTAGACACAGCACCACCCAGATAAGTAACAAAAAGAAGGCTGAAGTAAACAAATTAAATAATGCAGATGAAAGTGCTCAAATTTCACCACCAATGCCATTTCATCAGCGATGGTGGTGATTGCTGTGTTGTTACACATCCTCAATGTAGGTACTGCTGAGAAAGAAGAACAAAATTTACTTCACTACCAGAGGTGGACAAAAGCATCCCACATCGCCCCAATGGCGAAAACAGCAGGCAGAACATAGGGCCGGTTGAGAATGGAGGAAGGAGCATCACTCTTGACGGGTGAAGCCTTTGGTGGAGGAGGCAGGTTCTCGACACGAACGGCAAGCTTCATGCCTCCGTAGCAGAACCCTTTCCCGCTGATGAAGTAGTAGTGACGAGTCACGTTGAGTGGAACCACATCTCTTCCAGCACCTCTAGTCCAGTTCTTGAGCGGGTGGTCGGCATTGCAGCTCTCATAGTCAGTCTTGTTCACCTCCAGCACGTTCATCTGGTTCCTGTCGTACACGAAAACTGCAAAACACAAGCACAAAAGAGTCTTAATTGTGGACTCAACTTTCCATTGGAAAAGACCAAGAGGAAAGACATGTTTTTTCCACTTCTCATGGTGCACAAGGGAAGAATTAGTTAGAAATAGTAGCAATACAATCCAAAATAAAACCCTCTGATGGCTACAACCAAGGAATCCGAACTGTTTTGCTCCTATGGATTCGTCAGAGTATTTGTGCTATCATGGCAGCTATGCCTCAGGCTCCCAAAATGGCACCAAGACATTGCTGTTTAAGGGGGAGTTGCAGATCTGAAATTTGGTCAAGGAAGTAGAAAAAGTTCTTGATTTGAATTTTTTTGAAATGGAAATAACCATGAATACTGAAAAAGCCCTCAACTTTATGTTCCAATTCAACACTCTCAGATCTGTAAATGCGAATTCCCGAAATGGGCAACAATCTTTTAGCAGAAAGTATGCAGCAGAGTCTTTGGACTGGCTTTACGATCTGAAGGTCAATTAACGAGAATAAGAAATTAGAACCAGAAGGAGAAGGTTTAGAAAGAGGGGGGACTTACAGAGCCAGTCGCCATTGTAGAACGTGATATTCTGAGCCCAGATAGTGTAGTTGACATTAGTAGTCCACCCCATTTTGGATCCAACAGTCCATCTCGTAGCAGAAACTTCCGGCACCACCGCGACCAGGGCGAATAGCACCGCCGCCAATGTCAGCAGCCTCTTCTCCATTGCTGTTCCTGCCCTCTCTCTGTCTCTGTCTGACTTGAGAACGCTCTTATCTGGGCAGAGGACAAAGGATTTGAGTAGACACTAGAAATATCGAGAGACGCGGTTGTAACTGCTGCTTAAAAAGGAGAAAGGAAAAGCCGAGAAAGGAGAGAGTTTGTCCACTCTGTCCTCTGTCTGTCTGGATCTACAACCGCCGTAAAAGGAAGCAAAAGGATTATTATGAACGTTGTCTTTTGCCGTTAAGTTAAACAGAAATGACAAACCTAGTCAAAGCAGGCCTGTCATGACAGAGACGACGACGGTGGTTAAGTAATTTCGGTGTAAAATATCAATTTGGTCACGAAATCGGAAAAATGCGCACTTTTATGTCTAGACTTTCTAAGAACATGTCATTGAATCGGAAAAATGCACTTGTTTATCACTTCCCGGTTTAAAATATCATATGAGGAATCAAGCTTTTTCTTACCGTATTAAGATAAGGTTACAAAATGTTGACTAACGATGATTCATTCGAGATACTGTGATGTTTTAGGAGTTCACCACCACCAACAAAACTTAAGCTCCTTATGTGATACTTGCTTACGAGTTCAGTGACCAGATCAGCATTTTTCCTCCTCTCTACCAGCACACCATCGATTTGTCACGGTAAACGCGGCTCCAATCATGGCGTATCCCCTTCTTCCCCTCCCTACTCTGTGCTGTCAAAACTTATAAGACCTTCTGTCGGGTTGAAAACTGAGAAAGTCAATCATCATTCATTACACTTTCAAATGTCGGATGCAGAGTTGACTACTGCTAGCTTTTGGTTCATCCTCACGCATCCAACTGATACAAAGGCATATTGATCCCAATTAATATCTCAAATGACAAAAAGGGGAAAGAAAGAGCCTCATCTATCGAATACCATACCTAAGAGACAGACTACAGATAATATTGTCATTCTTCAGGAGGTGCTACATTCACTGAGAACGAAGAAAGGCAAAAAAGAGGGGGGGGGGGGGGGGGGATCAAGGTCGATCTTGAAAAAGCTTATGACAGGCTCAGGTGGGATTTCATTCGGGATACCTTGATTGAGGTTGGTCTCCCGAGTACGTGGATAAGCAGAATCATGATGTGTGTGGAAGAAAACAGGATGAGGATCAATTGGAATGGCAAGCTCACCGAGCCAATCTTGCCTTCTCGGGGTGTTCGTCAGGGTGACCCACTGTCACCGTACCTCTTTGTACTATGTATGGAGAGGCTTGCTCATAGGATCGAAGTAGCGGTCAATGATAAGCAGTGGAAACCTCTTTCCATCACTCCCAATGGTTTGAAATTGTCACATTTGTTTTTCGCAGATGATTTAATCCTTTTTGCAGAAGCAGGTGGCAAGCAAATCGACATCATCCGTCAATGTCTTGATGATTTCTGTGCAAGCTCAGGACAGAAGGTCAACTTGAACAAGTCAGCCTTATTCGTCTCCCCAAATATAGCTCGGACCAAAGCTGAACAATTGAGTGCTCGAGCCAATATTCCTCTCACGACGGACCTCGGCAGATATTTGGGGCTCAATGCTATCCATGGTAGGATCACTAAGACCAGATACAAAGAACTCTGTCTTAAGATTCAAAAGAAGCTGGCCTCGTGGAAAACAGGTTACCTCTCCCTGGCTTCTCGCCTAACCATGGTGAGATCTATCTCTTCTTCAATGGCTGTTTACCCTATGTTCTCCGAGAAACTTCCAAGTTCTGTTTGCAGCCTGTTAGACAAGATAAACAGAAAGTTCGTTTGGGGAGAAGAGGAAGGCCACTCTAAATTTCACTCAGTTGGCTGGGAAACCATGACGACACCAAAAGCTATGGGAGGAGCTGGCATCAGGCCCACTAAGCAAGCCAATCTAGCTATGCTATCAAAAGGAGGATGTAAGTTAGTAACCAGGGAGGACACTCTTTGGACAAAGCTTCTTCTAGAAAAATATGGTGGCAGCAGGGAAGGCCTGGACATCATCAGAAAGAAAAAGGGAAGTTCTTTAGCTTGGAAAAGTTTTGCTGCTACCTACAACACTCTTAAGAAAGGTTTTGCCATTAATATTAAGGATGGTAAGCAGACTTACTTTTGGTTGGATCCGTGGCTAATGCAGGTACCCTTGATAGAACATGCCTCCGCAGAGCTGACAGAGGAGATGAAGCAGCGACGTGTTGCAGAATTGTGGGAGCATGATCGTGGATGGAGGCTGGAAGAATTCCAACATCTTCTTCCACCACAAATCGTCGACAAGATCAGAGCTATTTTGATCGACCCGCTGGCGGTGGGAGGTGATAAAATCATTTGGAATCTCACCTCCAATGGTCACTTTTCAGTCAATTCAGCTTTCAAAGCAGAGCAATCTTCTCAATCCCTTCAGAACGATCCGATTTGGAAGAAAATCTGGAGGCTTCATGTGCCAGAACGAGTTCGGGTATTTGTTTGGATGGCAATGCTAGGCAAGTTGACTACAAATCAGATCAGAAAAGACAGACACTTGACTGACAACAACTCGTGTCCTGAATGTGAAGGTATTTCGGAAACAATTGTACATTGTCTCAGGGACTGCAGGAAAGCCAAGGCGGTTTGGAATAAAATCCTGGATGCTAATAGAAGGGCAGCTTTTTTCAATGCTGGCCACCAAGATTGGATGAAATCCAATATACTAGATGTTTCTACCGGGAATTGGATGGGAGAATGGGGAAGTTTCTACAGCCTAGTTATATGGTATCTATGGAAGTGTAGAAACGATGGGATTTTCAAGGGCATCAAGCTGTCATCTTCCACTCTTCACCATTATGTTACAGCCAAGGCCAACGATTGGGCTCGGACTTGGATTGATGCCAGGAAATCTTTGGCTATGGTAGAGGGAGGTAACAGGACAGAGGCTTTGATTGGTTGGAAGAAACCCCCTATTGGCTGGCATAAAATGAATACGGACGGCGCGAATCAAAGCAATATGGGCATGGCCACGGCGGGCGGAGTTCTTCGGGACCATAATGGCACTTGGCTAGCCGGTTTTTGCAGCAAAATCGGCACAGGAACTGCTTTGTTGGCAGAGCTATGGGGGGTGCTGCAGGGCTTAGAGCTTGCTTGGAAGAAAGGATCTCGTTTTCTCGTCCTGGAAACAGACTCTCAAATGGCTCTTCAGCTGATCGAACAAAGAAGAGATGAGGTTCACCCATATGCTACTATCTTGGGCGCTATTCGTAGGCTTCTTAGTCAGGATTGGATGGTGCGTCTAGTTCATACATATCGCGAAGGGAATAGAGTCGCGGACTGGCTCTCGAAGCACAGTCTCGTCTATCCCTTCGGTATGTATGAGCTTGAGGCTCCTCCTTTAGAAGTGAATAAGATATGTTATGAAGATGAAGCCGGTACCAGCTTCCCTAGAATGGTTAGGCTGGACAATGAGACTTGATTAGCGCTCTCTTTGCTTTTGTTTCTCGGCCTGGTTCTGCCTAGCTGGGAGAATTAGTGTTCTGTTTGTTTTCTTCCTGGCACTTGCTGCCTCCATTTTCTCAAAAAAAAAAAAAATCTATCGAATACCATTCATGAAATAATCTTCATTGCATCCTCACACTAACTGATCAATCGAAAATCAAAGGATTAAAGAGGAAAGAAGAATCTCGTCTATTGAATATCATTCATGAAAACCAATATCTGCATTTTCTTAGTATATAGGGTTTGTTCCCAATTTCCAGATCCAGTAATTCCTGCTCATTCAATCTTTACATTGGAATTCTATCAAATCTCTCCTACCGTACAAATCATTCAGAAACGAACTCGGTTCCACATCCTAATCCAACCTTCTCAATAAGTACTCAACTTGGACTTCCTTTGTGAGTGGCATGATCCATCTCCCATAGAGATCAGCAACCAAGTGTGGCTCAATCTTGTATACTGTTTCAGATTCAACTTTGCCTTCTTTCATTGTCACTTCTAGAGCAAAGGTCCTGGCTTTCATCTCGACTCTCTCTTTTACTCTCTCCTCCACTTCTGGGTATGTCAACAAAGCCATCAACCCTTCCCTGTCCTGCAAAGTTTCAGAAGTCCATCCAAACACCAACATAGTAAGTATCCAGAGAAAAGAGTATCGGGGAACAATACACCACGGTCTCTGGTTTTAAGAACCTACTTGAGCTTCAATAGCAGTTTTATATTCACTTGGGTTTGCTCGAAATTTGGACTCGGCTACAAATTTGCCATAATGAATTCTTTTAGAAAGAGCCTGCAACGTGAAAACCATATCATGTGAAACCACCATCCAGGTGTTCAAGGATAATGCAGGTACAGAACGAGGTAAACTGCAGAGCAACAATACTTATAGCATTTCAAAGAGTACAGAATTTGGAGCCGGCTGCATAGTGCTCCAACAAGACCACAAAATGATCCTATGTTTAAAGATCCGTAGTACCTCAGTGATATTGCATGGTTTCATGAAAGAGGAGTAAATTATGATTACAATGTCGTCATCAAACTATACATTTGCATCACAATACATCACTGGTTCCCTTAACTCCTATACCAAACAACGACTTTTCATTGCAAAAAGTACCACTCTTCTTCAAATTCTAATACCAACAAAGCAGTAGGAAGTCTAGCTCAATCAGAGTCTTCTTGGCAACAATACAAGAATGGTCGATTTAGAAACCTGGTGTCGCAAGTTCTAAAGACCTCACACCAGATCAGGTACTGCCTCATAATGTTAGGCAAAACATTTTCACTGTCATGACAGTACTACTATCGTGCAAATGATGACAGACATCACTGTCAGTCAACAAACAGAAAATGTTTGGAAGAGGAAGTGATTTTTTCCCCACGGAATTAGCTGCCTATGGCTACTCTAAAACTGTGTTTATGGCTTTCCACCTTGATAAATGCTTTCTCAAGTTTCTCGTTTCCCTGTAATAACTATCCATTCCAATTACGTTCTCACAGGACATATTTTTGTACAAATCTCAGATTTCCACAAAATAGAAGTCATCTACAAGTTCAAGTTCAATGTGTCCGAAACCGGGAAGGTAGACAATAAGAAAAACACACACCTGGAGGCAGATTGTGTCACATACTGCTGAAGAACCACAATTTCCATCATTTCCTAGCTTCACCAATCTTGGAAGTAGATCTTTAAAGTACATGTCCCACACTGTGTTGTTAATATTAATTGATTCAGCAACTTTATGTAATACCTGTTTGAAAAAGTCAAAATTAACTCAAATAGATCCTGAGCAATTTATAGAGATACCAGAGACTGAGCTACTTGCATCTCAGGATAGAAATGAACAAAGACAAAAATTTCCCCAAACTGAACTTCGAGCACTTGTTCATGAGTAGCAAACAGCAAAGCTCCTAATATTATTGTCAATATAAACTCCAAAATGGAAAACAAATGATAGTTCTAATGAGACAGAAGGCACTCACGACTTCACATATCATACTGTACCTTGGGGTATTGCATTGGTGGCAATAATGGTTCGGGTAAATCATTGGGGAAGAAAGGATATTCGTCGGGACTTTTGTATCTACCAACCTGTTTTCCAAAATAGTGAAAACAGCACATCTTACACACTTGATGTATTCATTTCATTCCAAAGTTAATAGTTTAGTAAAAAAATGTACCTTGGCATGAAGCTTTTCAGTTTCTTTAAGGATGTATTCAACTAGAGAACCATGAAAATCATTCATGGAAAAAACATCGGGATTATAGGTATCCGCGTTGTAACAGTATTGGGATCTCTCCAAAAGGTTGTATATTATACTGTCTTCTTGCCGAATCAGGGAAAGCCTTACGCTTTCTAGTGTCAGAGTGTCACTTTCGTCCACCCTTTCCTTCTTCTCCAAACTACAAAGAAAGAACCCTCATATCACCAATAGGTTATGGAATCCAGTGTTCAAGAAGACGCGATTAATCTCTCGCCTAGGCGCGATTAATAGCTGGGCAGGACGAAATCGCCGCGTCTAGCCCTGGGCGATTGATCTAGGCACCTAGGCACTCGGAGGTGCGTTTTCACTCTTGTGGGCGACGCCCATAACAACTAATAAAGGGGGAAAGTGTAGCCTTTTTTTGAAAATCCCAAACCCTATTCTATTTCCCATTTCCATTCGACCAGCCGCTTCCCCTCATCGACTAACAGTGAGATCCCTCCTCATTGTTGGCGACTTGGGATGTTTGGGATTGTGGGAAAAGGTTGTATGTGAATATGAATGGATGAATAATGATATGTCAACTTGGGTTTTTGTGGAATATGGCTTATCTAACATATTTTTTTGCAACATTTAATCTCGCCTAGGCAACGATTAATCGGCATGGGCGCTGGGCGGTTACTCCTCGCCTAGATAGGGCCTAGCATCTTCTTGAACATTGATGGAATCTAACCATAACCCATGACCCTTTGAAACAAGAAGCACAAATAGCAAAGCAGTAGAAAGATATTTGGGAATATTGGACCCAAGATTTATTCAGATCAAGCCGTGATAAATAAATGGTGTCTCTAAAGAGTCAATTGTGCATACTATGACAATCTCCTTTGTGAAGCATGAAGCTCACTTTTAATTACCAATCATAGCTGACTGCTGACGGCACAAAACAGACCGCAGACCCAAATGGACACCCCAAAATCTTCCACCAAACACACACACATATATATAGCTGGAATCAGAAAACCACTGGAAAAGGGCAATCGGCACTCTATCAGTCAAAAATTCAATAGCAAACAAGAGTCGGATTGAGCGCCTCCATCTAACTTTTTCTCCATATACGGCACCAAACTCATGAAATCAACGTGCATTGCACAAAGAAGCAAACTTTTTCAGTTCAGGCCTAGTCGAACTGTCAACGGTAGCAACCAATATTGGGGAAGAGATCAAGGCTGACATACCCAGCTGAGGAGTTGGCACAGAAAATGCGATGTTTGGCAGGACTTGATGAGGAAACTGAAACCCTTCGTGTCCCAAGAGAGAGACGGCGGCAAAGTGGGCTGGAAAACTTGAAGGCATCTGTAGTCGGAGGAGCTGCAATTGCAGGCGGAAAGCAAGCTCTGGTCAGAAGCTTGGCCTCCATCTCAGTCTTGGAGGGAGGAAGGAATGCAAACTTGGACGCAAGAGAAGTAATGGGTTTCTTTGGCCTTTTTCCCGGTGAGATGGGATTTTCAGGGTTGGCTTGTTATTGGAGTTGGTGGCTGAGCGGGAAGGAGGGAGACGAGAGGAGAGGGGTTAGGTGAAGTAGGTGATGACCGCAGATATTGATGCGAAAGAAAGGGGACAAGGAACGACGAACGCCACTGAAGAAGGGATCCGTCGGGCAGCACCGCGCGTCCACTAACATTCGCGCTGTCTGCGATTTTATTGGTCTAAGTCCTTTTCTACCCGGGATAGGTTACTGAGGGTAGATTGGGTATTGAAAAATAAATTGTATTAATAAATATTTTAATGAATTACATTTTAAGTAGTTACAAAAATCTATTAATTACGATTCTTTTTTATTTTCTCACTTCTATAATCTCCAACCAGATTTTCTTTTCTTATTTTTCTCAATTTTTTCTGCAAAAGAAAAAAAAAACGAAATCACTACCAATCCATTAGATAATCACTACCACTTTGAAAACATCAATACCATTGCAGAAATAAATCTATACCATTAGACGAAAACTACCAATATAAACAATCTACCAATATAAATCTATACCATTTCAAAAAAATCAGTACCATTGCAGATTTAATCAATACCAATACATGCAAATTAATACCATTACATGATAATCAATACCAATGCGACATAAACAATACCAATGCAACAAAATCAATTCCAATCCATAAAAACACTTATACTTATTAACCAATACCAATACAATTACATCACTACCAAACAACAATATCATTACGCCAATAGGAAAAAACACTACTACTAAAAAATCACTACCAATACAAACAAAATACATACCAATACAAACAAAAGCTACCTCTTTCCCAGCCGTTGATTTTGCCCCGAGGAAATGCACAAGAACAACAGAAGAGGAGAGAGAGAGAGAGAGAGAGAGAGAGAGGGAGAGAGAGAGAGAGAGAGATCGGAGGAGGTGGGCGGAGGGTGGGGGGAGAGGGGAGGGCGGGTGGAGGAGATGGGCGGAGGTGGGGGGAGTGGATGAGGTGGGCAGAGGTGGGGGAGGGGAGGTGGTGGGCGGAGGTGGGCTGATGCTGTCGTCTATGGTGGGTGGAGAGAGGGGAGGGGAGTAGCGGAGGTGGGCGGATGCCGTCGTCTAGGGTTCGCCTGGAGGGATGGCAGATTAGGGTTTGAGTAGAATATATAGAATAATCAGGTGTGGACTTTTTTTTGTTTCCAAAATTACCCTAAAACAAAATTAACAGTGAGATTAAAAAAAGAGGAAAACAAGAAAAATGAACGGCAGATAGTGATGTACCCACGGTGGCTACTAAAATTTTAGTTGCCACCCTAACGCATCCCTTTTCTACCCGAAAGAGAAAACATAATTTCTATAAAAAAAAAAAGAGAAAACAGAATCATAAGAAACTCTTATGATAGTTTTGAGTTGTCACACAATTTGTCAATTAGTACAAAATGGTTACTAAACTTTATTTTTGCACGTTTTAGTAAAATTTCCCTGAACGAATACCAAATCGGTTATTCCGTCAAATTCCATCCAAAAAACCATCAATTAAGTCCAGTCAATCAACTATAACTAACAGAATCTCTAATGGCGTTAAAGTTTTTAATAAAAGTGGCTAAATTAGTAAATTTGTCAAACATGCTTCTAAAATATGGACATTTTGTGTATTTCTGAGAAATTGGCTATTATTATTACAAAGTCCATAATTATGACCATGCAAGTGGAGTTTACCTAGAAACAATAAGAAATCCAAACAATAAATCAAAAACACACACACAAAAATATTTCAGCAGGTTACAAAAAATTCTTAACATAAAAAATTTTAAAAAAGAAAACTACCTGCCCAAAGTAGGAATGACAATGAGGCAGGTCGGATTCAGGTCTGGTAATTTATTATGGGTCGCAAGTTGAGACAGGTCGACCCAATGAATACACAATTTATGTAACATCTCATTCACTTTAGTGCGTTGCAAGTTATGGTTATATCACTAATGACGTTATTATAATATTTTGTTCGGTTTTAAAAATCAGGAATTGATTTCAATATAACTTAAATTATCGGTATGGAAGAGTTTAGTTAAGTTGAGCTAAGGGTTAGACGACTTAACCTAGAAAACTTAGTAAGACCCACCCATGGTTAGACTTAAGTTTGAAGGTTCAGGGGATGAAATTTTGATTGGGCCAAGTGGCCATTTAGGATTGAAGGAAGAGGAAGGAAGGACGGGGAAATATCTAGAGGATGGGTCACCCATTGCCATCCCTATGGTGGACATGGGAGGATGAAGGGGAAGAAAAGCAAAGGAATGGGGAGAAGTCACAGAAAAATCTACCTTCTCCATCCTCTAGAAATTTCCCCATGGATTTATCGGTGAAAAAAATTCCGGATAAAACTCATTGGGTTTGAAAAACTCAAACTCAACCCTATTCGCTAGGTATCCGCGGGTTTATGGGTACCCATAGATTTTTGTCGTAAAAAATTTACAATAACAAGTTCCTATCAAAATTAAAGTCAAATATCAATCTCTCAATACAAATTATCCATATTTAAAACACCATTCTAGAAAATGCAAGCAAATCACAAATTAACTATACAAATTGTTCAACACCAATCTAGAAAACTCAAGAAAATTGAAGCAAATCACAAATTATTCATAAATAACATGATTAATTGAAAGCTTCTTCCTTTCAATTAAGTTTCTTCAATCTCCACTAGATAACATCAACTTCATTCAACACAATTAGAAAGAAAAAATTAGACATGTCTCCACAAACATAAATAAGATTAGTTGTTTAGAATATTAAATATACCATGAAAATTAATTATATGGGTGTGGGGGGTACCTATGGGTCGGGTTTACCTAAACCCAAACTCAACCCAGTGAATAGTGAACGGGTTTAAACTCAAACTCGGCCCAAAACCTATCAACACGGATTTTACCCTCGTTGACCGAGTTGGGTCAAGTGGGTACCCGTGGGTTCGAGTTTTGTTGACATCCCTAGTCCACCATCTCTCCACTCCCTTCCACCCAAATTTCCAGAAAGATAGAGAAGCAAAGAAATAAATCAAGAGAAGTAGAAGTAGGAAGCTAAAAGAGGAAGAGCATCAAAGAGGGTTACAAGGATCGTGGGTAATATCTTAAATCGACTACCTTCTTCTCTATTTAGATTACGAAATTAGAGTCTTGAGGATGAAATAAAGTTAAGAGGATGATGAATCACATGAAACATGGATATGAATAGTCCACCATCTCTCCACTCCCTTGGCTCTATAATGATGGAGTTATGCTTAAGAGTGGAATCGAAGGGGTAAAATGATTGAAGCTAAGGAAGCTTCCTTCTTAGAACATGTTCCTCATGTTCTGAGGGATATCTGTACAAAATTTGGTAATGTTTTAAGTTCATTTGCTAAGTAATTAAATTGAAAACCGAAAGTATGAAAACAAGGCAATTGTGCATGATTAAGTTTCGAACCTGCAACTTGAAATTGAGTCCCGAGATAAAAACATCTGGTCCAAATGGTCTATAATTTTTATACAATGTACACCTGTGAATTTATTTTAAGTAGAAAAAAGAATCAGCCAATTTGATTAAGAATTGAGGGAGAAATTACTAAATTTGTGGAAGGGGTAAGATGCACAGGTTGTGCAAACTGCCGTACGACCGTGCAAAGTTTTCAGGGAGTTTCCACGGTCAAAACCATGAAATGCACAGCCGTGCAACCTCAGGGGAAGACCAAGCGCCTGTGCGTATCCTATTTTGTGCCGGAATTTTGGGTTTTCATCGAACCATTGGGAAACTTTAACCCGAATATGATTATATAGACTCCCTATGTGTAATATATCATTGAATGACTTGCTAATTGTGTAATTAAAGGAAAGAACAAGTCGTAGGAGTCTTCAAAGGGCAAGAGTAGCGACTCAAAACTGTGAGTATATTCTAACCCTAAACTCATATCAATGCAAATGCAGTATTTGGGTCATGAAGCGACCCAAGTACATAACATAACATAAATCTTGATGTATTCGGGTCATGAAGCAGTTCGAGTACGAAGTATGAATATCGAATGCATGAGTATTGAATGCGATGTGAAATTAATGGCTATGATGTGATGACTATGTGATGGATGTGTGTTGAATATGCAATGACCATGTGAATGGCTAAAGTAACTAGTTGCGTGTATATATGTGATTTTGTGTTAATATGATGTGAGAAAGTGACGATATTGATGTGATAAAAGTAATGACGCCTATGGGCGTAAGGATATTGATATAATGAAATAATATGTGATGAATGATGAGTAAATGTGATTTGTGTATGACTATGTGATAATTGGTATGAAATGTGATAAATGAGGATTGTGAATGAGAAATGCAATGCATATGCGATATGAAATATGACCTAAAAGGCGATGATATTGTACTAGAAAGCCTATGAGGCGATAAGGGGATAATGTATAGCTTGAATGACTATATGATGATATTGGAAGAGCCTAATTGGCGATACTGAGATATGGGAAAGCCAGTAAAGCGGAAATGTGATGATATTGGGATAGTCTAATTGGCTATCGTGTGATACTAGAAAGCCTCTAAGGCGGAAATGTGATATTCGGGAAGCATATAATGCGATGATGTGCTTATACGAAATGGTGAATGTGACTATGTGAATGCTATGATTATGTGAATGGATATGTGTTAAATGATTGATGATACTGCTTGATACTTGTGATGTGACTAACTAAAGAATTGTCTGATCACCTAAATCAAACCTGATGGCGCCTTGTCATGCACTCTATGTGATTGGATATGGTGGCTATACGCCTAGCTCTCTGGGAGAGCGATACTAGGCCTGGTTATTGGCGATGCTTTATGCATCTATTGGTGGTACTTAATGCATCTATTGGGTGATGCTCTATGCATCTATTAGAGGTGCCTAAGGCATATATTGGGTGATGCTTTATGCATCTACTGGCGGTGCTTAACGCATCTATTGGGGATGATTTATGCATCTACTGGATATACCAGGGGGAGTGCATGACTTGACAAATTAAAGGCTAAAAGACGCTTAATCTGGCTAGTTGGAGGGAACAGATCAAGTAAACTTATGGTGAGTAACCATGAGTAACCCGTCCACATCAGCATGACATCAGTATCTCTTTCTCTCCAGGAAAGCCTTTAATTTTCCCCTCCTTAATCTTTGACGGACGATTTCTCATTCGTTTTAAGTCGAAATTTAATTTTCTGCACAGTTAGATCAGATTAATTGTGCTATTTAAAATGATATTCACTTTGATATATTTTTTGAACAAAAAAAATTGATTAATTTTTTACCAGTCTATACCATATGGTATTGACTGGTATTGAAATAAGAGCATACTTATGGTTTGAAAAGAATACCATGATGGTATGAACAAACCAAGACTGTAGGATGGTTGAATACATGATAGTAGAAGTATATTAATTGTCATTTACGACTTTTAACATTGTGTACCACAAGATACCACCCCGTACTAGGGTGGTATTGTAGTATTTTTTGGTCCTGTAATTTTTCCACCCATAAATTTGTAGATCCAATCGATCATGATGAACTCGTTCCTTCTGTGCAAACGTTTTAAAAACGAATTAAAAGCGCAGAAGATGCCATATGGTATGCAGTTGGTACTGAGATGCAAGAATTTTTTTTCTCAAAAAATTTTGAAAATGGATTTCATTTTGTAGAGCACAATGAACTCGTTCCATCTGTGCAAAAAAAAAAAAAATCCGAGTTAAAACGAAGAAGATTTGAGCCGATTAAGAAAGCTTGAAAAAATAAAAATGACATTTAATTCTCCATCCTTAGATATGAATTTTCTAAATGAAGGATCCAGATTTAGTTATTGATGGGTGCATAACTCATGGTTATGCACCCTATCTTGAGCCCTAGTTGGAGAAGCTATGTAGCAGGTACCAAATTTTCTATCAACCGTACTTATTGTTGTTAGGCCTGCAAATGAGCCGAGTCGAGTCAAATTTTGGTCTAGCTTGAATTCGGCTCGTGATTCAACGAGTTGAGAACTCAGCTTCCATACAAAAATCTTAACTTGTGTTTGACTCGAGTTCGGTTGATTAACGATCTCTACTCAAGCTCGGCTCATCATTTAGTTTGTGAGGTAAGGCCAAGCTCAGGTATCATGTCATTTAGTTCATCAATTTTAAATTTTCAAATCGTGTTATTTAATAATAATTAGTCTATGAGGAATTTGTGGTACATTTTCTTTTTTATATTATAAATGAGACAAATTTGAGCATGTGCTCAAATTCTTAATCATCATATTTTGTGAGATATATAATCTAACAAACATATGAATTATCAACAAGCCAACGTTAAGCTATTAATCGATTAACCGCCATGTAAGCGCAAGTAGACAAAGAGTGACCAAACTTGAAGTATATAACTAATTTAAATGACTACGAATGAAGTTAAATATTTTTAGTGATTAAATATGAACGTTTTTAGTAATCTCAATGACCAACCTTGTAATTAATCCTAGTTATTAGTCTCCCAATAAGGCCAAGTTCAAGCTCCTCTGTAATTGGAGTGGACTTGTACATCAACATACCATGGCCCAAAGCCCAATTATCCCAAAACAGGCGCTAACGACAACTTTGTTTGAACTCATTGTTCGCGGACCTCATTCTTCGGCGGAAGCAAGCCGTCATCTCACTAATCTCCGGCGATGCATTTGCGACCAGCCATCTATGGCTAACTGCGGTGCTCAAATATCGACCCCAATTAGAGCTCCGGCATGGGTCTCAACGAGAAGACTGTTCGAGCAAAAGTTGCAGGAGCTTCACAAATGTACAGACTTAGCCCACGTAAAGGAGGTTCATGCCCAGATAATCAAGCAAAATCTCCACACAGACCTCTACGTAGCTCCAAAACTGATATCGGCATTCTCGCTTTGTCATCACATGAAGCTCGCTCTCAACGTCTTCAACCAAGTTCGGCACCCCAATTTGCAACTCTACAACACTCTGATTCGAGCTCATGTCCGCAGCTCCCAACCTTCCATGGCGTTCGCTGCTCTACTCGAGATGCAGCAAAATGGAATCTTTCCTGATAATTTCACTTACCCTTTTCTTCTGAAAGCTTGTAATGGAGAGCCCTGGTTGCCGGTTGTGCAGATGATACACGGCAGTTTGGAGAAGGTTGAATTTTTCGGTGATATTTTCGTGCCCAATTCGTTGATTGATAGCTACTCCAAGTGTGGTGCTTTAGGAATTCAGTCTGCGATGAGGCTGTTTAGGAGTATGGACAGCAGAGATGTCGTCTCTTGGAATTCTATGATTGGTGGGCTGGTGAGAGCAGGGGATCTGGGTGGTGCACGTGAACTGTTCGATGAAATGCCTGTAAGAGATGCGATTAGTTGGAACACGATACTAGATGCATATGTGAAGGCCGGAAAGATGAACGAAGCATTTGAGTTGTTTGAGAAAATGCCTGAGAGGAATGTTGTGTCATGGTCCACGATGGTCTCAGGTTACAGTAAAGCAGGGGATATGCAAATGGCTAGAATGCTGTTTGATAAAATGCCAACCAAGAATATGGTTTCTTGGACTATTCTCATATCTGGATATGCCCAGAAGGGGCTGGCGCAGGATGCGGTAAGTTTGTATTCTCTAATGGAGAAATCTCGACTTATGCTTGATTCAGGGGCTGCTGTTAGCATACTGGCTGCTTGTGCAGAGTCTGGTTTGCTTGGACTGGGGGAACGAGTTCATGCCTCTATTGCAAGGACCAGGTTAATGCACCACGCTGATGTATCTAATGCATTGCTTGATATGTATGCAAAATGTGGCAGAGTAAAGAAGGCGTATGAAGTGTTTGAGCGAATGGCAGAGAGAGATGTAGTTTCTTGGAACTGCATGCTTCAAGGGCTAGCCATACATGGGCATGGAGATGAAGCACTCATGCTCTTCTCCAGAATGAAACAACAGGGTTTCAAGCCCGATAAATTCACTCTAGTAGCAGTTCTTTGTGCTTGCACTCACTCCGGCTTCATCGACGAGGGCCTCAGGTACTTCAACAACATGGAGAAGGAATATAGGATTGCTCCCGACATCGAGCATTACGGCTGCGTGATTGACTTGTTGGGCCGTGCTGGACGTCTCAACGAAGCAATTAGGCTCGTGGATTCCATGCCGATGGGACCAAATGCTGTCATCTGGGGTACCCTTCTGGGGGCCTGCAGAATGCACAATGCTGCTGAACTTGCTAAGCAGGTTCAAGATCGCATGGCGAGATTCGAGGAGGCATCAGAGCACGGTACTTGTTCGGTGCTGTCGAATATTTATGCAGCTGCTGGGGACTGGGTGAATGTTGCTAATGTGAGGCTCCAAATGAAGAGTGCTGGAATCCAGAAGCCGTCTGGTGCCAGTTTCATTGAGGTGGGTGATAAAGTCCATGAATTCACTGTATTGGATATGTCCCATCCTGACTCTGGTGAAGTGTATGAGATGGTTGATGGATTGGTTCAGGAACTTAGACTGTTTGGTGATCCCTCAAATGATCACCACCACACTCACTGAATATACCCCATACTCTCATTCAACTTTTGGCATTCTTGTGTGTTCTCTGTAAATATTTATAGACAACTAATGAAGTTGATAAGGGAAGCTCCGTCTTTAAAGACATAAACATAGCAAATCAAAAGACGAAAAATGTACTGTAAAAGAAGTAAAAAAAATGTAAAATTTCAGTTGTTTGAACATCGCGCGAAGATGATGGAAAGATTAGTTTGATATTTGTGTAACTTTTTGCAAAAAAATATCTTGATCAAGATGACATTGAAAAGTTCAACACATAGTTATATCATTTCAACACATAACTTCGTCTAAATGTCAAAGTACTTGCTGTGCCCTATCTTCTCTTTCTATCCTATCACAATATTGAGTTGAGTTTTTTTTTCAAGAAAGGTATAATCAATGTTGGAATTGCAGCCTTTCCCTCCTAAATAATCCCTCCCCTTTCAAACCAATTCTCTCCAGGTCGGACTATCGCCACCAGCAAGAAAGTCATTCTCCTAACGACATTGATGCCTCTACTCCTCCTATTACACGCTCCTACAAAGGCTGACGATGCCAATTGGCCACATGTAGACAATAGTACTCATGCCCAAAATGGTAACGTGCTCTAGAGAAATAAGAACAGTCTTCAACTTCTGCACTTTCCTAGGCTGGCACATATGGGATTTGGTGGATAATTGCGGTTGGTGTGTGGTAGAGATGGTGATAGAGGTTTGTTTGGGGTAGCTCAAAAACGTTGCTGGAGCAGCTTTTTCTTTGCTCAAGGAAAGTGATAGTTGGGACATTATATGTAGTTTTGAACAATTGGATGAATTGGGATGCCATTATGAATTGGGATGTCATTATTTCTGGCTAGTTGTTTGCTGACCAGTTTAGTTTAGTAGGCATATGTCCCTATCCAAGAAAAGTGAATAATTTCCTCCAAATAATTGTGATGCACACTGTTCACTTAGCCGTAAAAGAGGAAGAAAATTAAGGGTAAGAACAGTAGAACAAAGAAAAGGATGGAAGAAGACCAGACCAAAATTTATGCAAATCAACATTCTTCTTTGGTTTACGTGTCAAAATCAATGTTATTAATGGTAATGACACTGTTATCTAGTTTTCCTTGTTTAAGAAAGATATGGTATGTAGTTTTCGGCAATGTTTGGGTCATTATACGGAGTGGGTTAAGTTGCCAACCTTAAGAGGAGTGGTCACTCACCGCGACGACCACTCTCAAATCTCTACTCTCGCCTGTTACAATTGGGAGAAGATAGCTCCTCCCTTTCTCCTCTCTCTCGGATCCCATGTGTAAGGGTGAACAATCAATTCGAATTTATTGAAAGAAATTTTCCAATAGGGGAGAAAGGGGATCGGTTCCTTTCTTTTACAGTCTAAACTCTTATTTGTCAGCCGTAGGGAACTACTGCTTGGTCGGAGAGAAGGGAAAGGTTTGGGCCTACCTATCACGATACTGAACTAATTGCCTATCCCTAATATGAGTACTCCAACATATACGGCTCAACCATCATATCCTTGTGAATGCATCCGATGACAGGATGACTAATGTATAATCCAACATATAGATAAACCCTCGTCCATAAAAAATGATGAGTTTTATACTCATTATCCAACCTAGATAGTTGAGTGGAGCCGATCCAGCTCTCAAACAGAATTCACTTTATCTTAGCAAAAGACTGAGAAAAGGTATGGCTCCAAACACAGAGAAATATTGGTACATTTTACGGATATAGTCCAAACTCTAAGAATGTGATACATTTTGTGTAAGAAAAATAACATAACTACTAGAGAAATAGTGGAGGAGAAAAATGCTCCACGCAAGAAAGAACTTCCAATTCTCTTTTTGTGTGGACATTGTGCTTACTCCATGGCTACATATCAATTGGGCTGCATCAGCATCAGCATGGGCTCCTGTTGTTTGGTGGCGCGCTTTTGCCGTGCTAACAGAATCTGATTGGCCATTTCCAAGTATAATTGGACGAGTACTATCTCTCTACAGTCTTACCCCTCCAAGTAGGGCTGCAAATGAGTCGAGTCGAATTTTACTCCAGCTTGAGCTCGGCTTGTTAATAAACGAGTCGAGCTTGAGCTCAGCTCATTTATTAACGAGCCGAGTCGAGTCGAGCTCGAGCTAACTTGTTTATTAAAATCTTAACTTTTATTTGATACTTCATTTTGTATATCATAATACATATGATTTATTTTTTAGCTAATCTCATATTATACTTTGTTGGTATCATATATCATTTAGTTAATAAATTTTAACTACTCCAAATCATGTTATTTCATAGTATCGAAGCAATTTATGATGCATAATTTCTTTTTAAAGTAGAAAATAAGATATATTGCTCACAAACTCAACGTACGTGTTAAACTTTATATATGGTGAGATATATAATTTAACAACTATATGAATTAAAATCATAAGATATAGATTGATTCATCCATAAGTTGGTAATCGAGTTGGCTCTCTAGCCACGTGTCAAGACATATCATGAGCTCTAAACGAGTCAGTTCGCGAGTTTAGCTCAACAAGCCACCGAATCGAGCTAGCTCGCGAGCTGAACAAAGGTGAACTCGTGTTCGACTCGTTTATTAACGAGTCGAGTTTCGAACGAATTTTTCTCTAGTCGAACGCCGAGCCACTCACGAGCTAATTTGCAGCCCTACCTCCAAGTATTATAACATTTGCTCTACACTACGTACGGATAAAGTGACTCACTGAGTGACTTCATGTGGTTCTCAGTAATCCTCACATTCTCTATAAATACTTCTCCCGAACCCACCCATTTCAGACAGACAAAAACAGAGAAAAAAGCTTGGATAATCATGGATGCCAATTGCTTTCTCAGTTCCTCCAATCCCTTCACCAAAACCACTGCACTAGAATTCCCCACTCCTTCATCCAGATCCCTCCACTTCCCTTGTTCAAGAAGATGCTCCAATGGATCACCATTTCAACCCAAAAGAGTTCGCCTTTCCTCCTTCATTACATGTTGGTCTCTCAACTGACTACCACTCTCTCTCTCTCTCTCTCCTCTACACCTTCGATTTCGTTATTCAGCTGATTGTTTGCCGCCAAAGTTTTGATTTTTATTGCATATATTGGGTAATGGGTAAACAGGCTGTCAATCGGCGGGATCGTCCGACGATCTGCATCAGCACGCCGAATCGTTCCTGCAGGCGGATTGGAGATGGTTCAGGGCAAAAATGGTCGCTAACGAGCAAGCCTTTATGACCGCGAGCACCGGGAAAAGCTCGCCGGCGGCGGCAGATCCAGACGAGGAGCGTACATCACAACCGCCGCTGCAGCTGGTGACGGTGGGAGATAGATGGGCCCACGCCATCCACGAGCCGGAAAGAGGGTGCCTGCTCATCGCAACGGAGAAGCTGGATGGGGTCCACATCTTCGAAAGGACGGTGGTCCTTCTCCTCTCAACGGGCCCGGCAGGCCCATTGGGCATCATCCTCAACCGCCCGTCCCTCATGTCCATCAAGGAGATGCGAAACACCGCAACGACGACGTCGTCGTCTCTGTCTGTGATGCCTCCAGAAGCGTTTTCGGGCCGGCCGTTGTTCTTCGGAGGCCCACTGGAGGAAGGCCTGTTTCTGGTGAGGCCCAGAGGAGGATACGACAAGGACAGGCTGGCGAGGAGCGGGGTGTTCGAGGAGGTGATGAAAGGGTTGTACTACGGGACCAAGGAGACGGCGGGCTGCGCGGCGGAGATGGTGAAGAGGAATATGGTCGGCGTCGGGGATTTCAGATTCTTCGACGGGTATTGCGGTTGGGAGACGGAGCAGTTGAGAGAGGAGATTGATGCTGGGTATTGGACTTTGGCGGCTTGTAGCTCGAGTGTTATTGGGCTGGATAAGGAAGCTGGTTTTGGGCTTTGGGAGGATGTCTCCTGGCTTGTCGGCCCAAAAGCGGTGTCCTGAGAGATTAATCACTGTACTGGAATTTTATGACGACTGAATCTGATTATCTATTGGTAAACTTTGATCAAGGTATTGTAAATTATCTCTTGTTGGACCTGCAAAGCTCCTTGGATTACTAAACGTTTTCCTGGAGAACGATGAAAAGGAGAGGGCATTTGAATTTTCCTATATAGAGAGAGCATTAGAGCTCATTAACTCCTACGTTTTAGGCCTTAGCTGTTCAGCATTCCATAATGAATGAATATACTTATATACTACTTTTTCTTGGGAATTTGCATGAATGAGAAGTTGGGAACGGTTATATATCAACCCATAACCCTCTACAGTCACTTCACCACTTTGGAAGCTTGGAACACCAGAAAAGAAAACCAAGGGGTCTAAAAGAGAACATAAAGGCAGACTGGTGCGAAGGAAGAAGAAAATGTCGGACAACATTCCATCTGGAGTCATCAGAGAAATTCTGGGCCGGCTCAGCTGGTGGGAGCTCTGCAGGGTGAGGTGCGTGTGCAAAGAATGGCGGTCCATCGTAGACGAAACCAGTTTCGTTCAACGCCAACTCCAGCGCTCTACTTCCCTATTTCTCCATGTAGAATTGACAATTTGACATTCTTTGGACGCTGTGTTTCCTACGGCTTCGCGCCTGGCACTTTCTGTCCCGACAGACGAGAAGAAGCAACGTTGACTTCATCCTGCAACCTGAGTACTAATTCTTCCTTCGTGTGCCATGAACACTATTGTGTCATGGGTTCATGCCACGGGTTGGTCTGCCTAGGGGATTTCGATATCAAACTCCTGCTGGTCAACCCAGTGTTGCCGGAGGAGAAACGATTTGTGAGATTGCAACGTTTCTTGGACTGGGATAGTGATGATGATGATGTGAAATTAAAACGTGTCTTGGTGTGGGATCGTGATTATGATTATGAGAACTGCTCGACTTTTTCGTACCAGTGGGTTGGTTATGGATTTGGATACGACGAGGTAGCTCAGGACTACAAAGCCGTTGTACTGCTAGCTGATAGCTGCAGCCTTGTCGTCATGAAGTCCTACATTTTAACTTATTGCTTTAGGACTAGATCTTTTAGCCTCTGTCCCTTAAATTATGACTTGCGTCATTCCATCATAGAAGATCATATCATGGGCGTGCTTGTCGGTGGCTCTCTGCATTGGATTTGGGAGCCACATGTGATCCATTCGTATGATCTTGGTTCTGATGTGTTTGGAGAAATCCAGCAGCCAAAATACGCAGCACAAGTATCCTCCTCCTCCATTATGAAGGCCGGCGTTGGGGTCGTGGACTCATGCCTGTGCGTTTGTGCTACTTATGCTGACGGGAGTGCCGTGGGTGGGGGAAAGCTTGATGTTTGGGTGATGAAAGAATACGGGAATGAGGATTCATGGTGCATTCTCCATTCTGTAGTTGATAATCCTGTTTTCGATCAACCTCCTCGAGTGGTTCGATGTTTGGGAATGTTGGATGGCCAGATTCAAGGAATGGGAGGGTTGAGGTTGTTCCCATTCCTGGTTTTACTGATGCGTCGAAGTTCGAAGCAGTTCTCTGCTTAGAAAGTCAAGTCAAAACTTTCCCGGGCGAGGATTATGAGACACGTGACGATGACAGAAGGTAATAGTAATACTACTACCACTACTACTTCTCTTTCCTGCCTGCGTTTTTATGTTTCTGAAATCGGTCGGTGGTCTGAGTTGCTTATTAATTTAGGATTGCTAATTAAGTAGGGTAGAAAATGAAGCAGAGAAACAGGGTTGTAATTGCAAATCCAACTCTTTTAGTGCTTGTTTTCCTGCCCGTTTGCCTTTGGATTTGAGTTTTCCCAATCACCCAACTCATCTGAAGATATCTTCTGTATCTCCAGGACCGAGACCTCTGAAGCAGAATCGTCGGAGGATGACAGCATCGATCATTCTGATATTTAGTTGCAGAATTTTAAGCACTAGTGCGCAGTAGACGTGCTAGTTTGGACATGCTATGCTATGCTATGCTATGCATTGAGTTGTCTTTTGATGAAAGAAATAAGGGTAAATAACTTAGTTTGGCCGCGACAGTTTTTGCCCGAATCACATGGGAATGTTCTTTTCTATTTCCTTCTATGGCTTGTTAGTGTGATTTCTTTGCCTACCAAATGGATGCATTGACTGAACATAGATGTTAGTTGATGCTACAATTTACAGAACATAACACACCACAATCGCTTCCTTATTTCCCAAACGCAAGATACAACAACAATGGGTAGAGTTTCGACCCAGCATGATACTTTAGAATACACGTCAGCACACAATGACAAGAACTTGGCTTCAAACTTGTGATTGTAGAAGGGGAGAACTGAGGCTGCTGTTGTTCCTGGCATACTGAACTGGCAACAATGCTGGATCACAGTATGCGGTAACTAATTTATCGTAGAACTCAGCCATGTTCGGCCGATTTTGGTCTTCTTTATCTTTATTCACGATACTCTGCAGCACAAGGACGCCAGATATGTCAAGGCTACTCTCTACAGTAATCACATCTGTGAATGCATAACTCTCACGGTAAAAAATGTGCTATATGAATAGAGAATGGAAGGAGAGTGATTGCGTACCTCGGTTGGATAGTATTGAAATAGGGGTACGAATCGTCTGCTGCAGTACTCATTGAAGAGAAGTGTGAGAATGGGGAGCGGCACAGTTAAAGTGGATGCTAAAGGAAGCTTCTTCAGCCCAAATATTCCAATGGCAATAACATGCATCAGGATCAAGGAGAAGATTGTGGAACCATGTACTATTGGCCAAAACCTTCCATTAGTTTCGTACTTCGGTTCATATACATTTAGTAGCTGGAGCAGAGATGAGGAGGTTGTTAGACTACAGGTTGTGAGGATTATGTACCTTATCTATGAAAGATTATAATTCAGTTACCTGGTTACGGAAGGTGATGTATCCAATGCAGAAGTAGATCAAGAGAAATGGAAGTATTAATGGTGCAAGGAAAAAGTATGTTGTGCCCAGGAGTCCGAAGAAAAGGATTCTTGGAATTTCGCTGTGGTAGGGGAGCTTTGGGACCTCAATTTCCTCATCGTCATTACTGGAAAACACTCCAGTCACATAACTCCAGAGCAGAGAAGTCAGCTGAGAGATTTCAGATGATAATTTCGTCCATCCAGATGTTACGACGTATGAGATAAAGAAGGTTGCCTGCAGCCAGAAAGAATTTGCATTTCTCATGAGCAGTCACATAATCGAAAATCAGGAGAATTCCCTTGAGTTAATCCACCTAATCCCCAGAAAAAGTTGAAATATTAAACGCATTCTGCAGATGTTATGTACACATGACAGATGTTGCTTTGTTAAGGTAGGAAATGGATCATTACCTGACCTGGAACAGCTTCAGCTAGTATTTTGGGAATATTCTTCGGTTCAAGGAAGATATTCACCTGATAGAAAGCTGAACCTGATAGTACATTTGCAAAAAAGATGTTCCATATTGTAAACCACAAAACCTTGGTACATGCGCTTTTTTCTGTGCTGCTAGATGAAAGATATCCCTCCATAGAGGACAACATTAACATAATAGGTGGCACCAGATACAGGAACAGCTGCAGAATGAGACTTGGTAAATATCCAGTAACGATTTGGCTGACAATGGTCCTGCAAGTCAAATGGTACTGCACATCAGTACCCAATAAAGTACGATTATACAGATGAACTACTTTCTAGGAACACATGCTAAGAACTCGATGCGATACAAATAAGTGTCTGCCTAAGTCGTAAGGCTTGATGTATCAGATCATCATGAGCATAGCAAGATATTATTACAGGAGCTAAGGACACTAACTAGTTCTCTAAGGAAAACTACTGCACCTTCAAGTGACATCAAAGAGAACCTGGAATTAAATTTTGCGTTTGAAAAATACAATTGAATATATAAGACCATGTTCACTTACAGATCTAGAATGCCTTTCAGGAAAGGAAACCAAGTTTCCAGCTGCTCCAGATTAGCCAGACCTTGCACTAAAACAACTGGAATAAGGAAGAGAATTGTGAGGGCAACACACGCAACCACGACAACTATCCTGCTAATCCATCTTTTCATGAATGAAGAAGAAAAGGACGACCAATGGATGTCACGAGGCTCAGGAGCTTCCTCTGTGAGCCACTCTGTGGGATCGGCACCTTGTTGCATATGAAGAGCTACTGCAGCACCAAATCGCGACTTGAAGGACACAAAAGCAGCTGGAACTTCCTGATGAATTTCAAATCATGCAAAAGTAGAGATTTAGATTCTAACCTCTTTAACAGTCAAAGGCGACTTCTTTACGAAATGTCTAATATGCATATACATGTGAACAGATGGAATGAGCACATGGGTAAAGGTGGTAACAAGCCAGCCTTCAATTCTAGACGAACTAAGATGTGAAGACTTGACCACCTTGTGGTTTGTTTTGTGATCATTGTCACAATGAAATAGCACTGGAGGCTCTGGCTGACCGTATAGTAGCTTTTCTGAAAAGAGGTTCGACTGGTATCTACTGGAGAATTTCAGTGGGAAAAGAGCCATAGACCATTTTTCACGATAAACAACTATTAGTCAAGTTGTAAAGCACTAAACTAGTACTGAATGTAATTACTGAGGGCAGCACATACACGTCTCTCATTCCATGAGCCATTTTATGTATAACATTGTCTAGTTTGTCCTCTAGTGTTTAAATTTCCAGTGAAAGCAGTTTAGCAGATCAACCAGGAGATTAATGACTGTTACACTTGCAAAATCAAGGTAGAAATGGTCTTACAACGCTGGTGTTAGGCAACTCCCCAGTCAAAGAATGCTGTTCTGTTCTCACATTTCTCTCCAAATCTTCCAACTTTTGCTCATAATGGCTGACATCAGTATCCCTTCCCCGGAAGAGGCCCAATAATCTATCTCTTTTATTTATTTGCTGCGAACTCTGTGATTTCACCCGGGCAAGCGTTCTGTATAGTTTCTCTGCATCTTTCTGCATCACAAAAGAGCTTAATAATCAATGGCATAGCACAATATATAAATAATACTCGATGTTTCAAATTATAAAAAAAAAAGGAATGCATCTCTACTCTCTAGAAATGATGTATAAGGGAAATGCTCTCCAATTACTGCATTATGGAATGCTTGTACAAATTATCTGCCACACTTTGTTGTATCATAGTAATGCTCAAGACATGGAAGTTGTGAGACAGTTTTGTTCCACAAAGTATTAGCCATTTGCTTTGAAACTTCCCTAGCTTCTTCTCATTAGCTACAACCTTAATTGTGCAACACCCAATCATAAGCTTTGAAGAAGTGGTTCACATCATCTTTAACAATAACAATATAAGGCATAAGCTCATTTCAAGGTGCAAGGACAAGCAGGTGGAAAAAGATTCACAGAGCAAGCTGACTCATTGCAAGTACAATCGAACAGATAAAGAGGTCTTTAATTTAACGAAGCAAAAGGAAAACATCATCACCGTAGCCTCATTTCTAATGAATCAATCTGCAGTCCACCCCAAAAAGCTTACAATGAGACTTCGAATTTTGCTCGTACGATGAACCACCACGTGCGAAAGATATGTAGATGGATGATTATCAGTAAAAAACGCCTGGACAGCTTCACTAAAGCTTCTTCCTCCTGAAGACGGTATACCACGGACTACTATCGTATAGTTATGTGGCTGAGGCGGAGATGAGTGAAAAGAAGCAATCCTTCTCAGGGAGATGTGGTTATACTCCTGCAAATTGTACAAGCATTCAAGTCAACACAACTCAGCTTCATAGATGGGAGAATGACAACAGAACAGCAGAACAATGATGTCCATTTTCACTTACATAATAAAGAAGGTAGCAGACAACTCCAGTAAAGATGTATGCAGCCGAAAAGTGAACCCATAACCTAGAGAAAGAGAAACACTATCATCTGGTATCTTATTGCCGCCATGGACTGGGAATTAGTGCACTTAACAGTTCCTTCAAAATCCAGATTATGCAATTGGTGCTAAATTACTCAACCTACAGGTTTACTCACCAGGAAACTCATGAATTGATTACAAAGTATGACTAGAAGTGAGAGAAGGAGGAGGAAGAGGAACTCACCAGTTTGATCCATCATTAACATTCGATATACTGAAAGTTTCCAGATTCTTGTTCGGCAAATCATAGAAGTCGATACTCAATTGATTCCCCAAGTAGTTCACCGGAAGGAGAACGAAAATCCCAATCGCTCCGCCGATCGCGAACACTCTCGAGCTGCAATTTTTTTAACCAGCAACACATACGAATGAGTAAATAGCGAAGAAGGAACGAAGATAGCAACTGAAGTAAAGAAAAGAACCTGAAGACGAAAATGCGTATGAAAACAACAGCATCGAGGCCGGAGCGGCAGAGCAATTCGTCCTCGGAGACCTGCCACGCGCGTCGCACCCAGCCAGCGGAAGGCAACAGCATGTCGAAGTTGAAGAAACCATCCTCCTCCTCCTCGTCGCCGCCGTTCTGAGATTTTCGTCTTTGCTTCGCGAGCTGGCGTGGAGCGTAGACGGCGGTGTTCCACGGCTGCTTCCGGAGCACGGAGTAGAGAGTGAAGAACAAGAAACAGAGGCCGAGATTGATTCCAACTGAAGTGAGCAGGGCCGAGAGAATCATATCCCTCTCTCTTCGTCTCCCTACTTCCAAGTGGAAGGAGAAGTGGAGATTACAGAAGTAGGTTGTTGCAGAGTGGAAGGAGGGGAAGGAAACTGCAGAGACGACGACAGTCGACAGGTAGTAAGGAAGTGAGATTTTGGGTTCTGAAAAGAAGAAAGTCGGATGAGCAGTGACTTAAACTGAAACTAAAACGCTTTCCCCAAGAGGAGAAAAGAAAAATTGAGCGGCAATTTAGCTATTTGCCTATTTGGTATCTTTTTGGGGGTGGTGCGTCATAATGGGGAATTATTAGCTGGGGTGCTCCCTAGGGTGTTGTCGACATGATCGTATGGCTTAATTACCGTAATACCATTCACCAATTGAAAACTGTACAAGTTGAGTACTTAGCTGATGATTATCCAAAATTATGGTGTAACTATACTATTACTACAAAATGATCACCAACTTTATTTTAACTTTATAAGAATACTTTTCTAATTTTTAGTTTGCCTCGTCAACTAATAACATCCGTACTCATCGAAATTAGATGAAATAGATATTGAAATCTACATTCCAACTAATTTATTCAGTGTATATCTCACTCACATCATCTTGACAAAAAAAAACTTATTTATCCTCAAATGGATTTCAAAATGTCACCGATCTCTCTCTTCTATGCAAAAAAATAAATAAAAATTAGTGAGATTTCGTAATTTTTCGCTTCTATGATTTCCTTTCTTAGCATCGCCTTCATTTGATCTCTTAGATAACTTGTCTCCATTTATTAGTGGTGTTCCTTAAACTCGTGTGTTCCATTGATTGTGCTAGACAATAACTTATTTTTACTCAATCGCATTCCAATTTTATAATTCTTTCTAATATCAATCCAAATCCATGAGATTTTCTCATTCGTCTTCCTTGTTTATTTGAGGTGGATGGATTGTGTGAGGGATTCATCTTAGGATGGTTTCAGATAAACACTATTGTTAGCAGTGACGACTCTTTCAATTATTATCACGGATAGTGTAACTGACATATCATATGGAAACATCCTCCTCGATTTTTTATTGATATACATTTTGTTGTTCGGTTTAGTTCATATTAGTTGGTTCAATTGTTTAGGGTTGGATTGTGATATGATATTACATAGGTAAATTTTGAAATTTTGGTGCAACTTTTTGTCAAACAAAAGAGTAATGACCAACTGAACGAAATTTTAGATGAAAATGAAAGAAAATGATCATTTTGAAAGAACACAAAAGTTACCTCACCATTTTCAACAATTGAAGGCAGGAAACAAGAAACAGAGCAGCACACTAATCGCACGCAATTCAAGTTGGTGAACGGCTTCAAAGGCACAGAGAAAGAAGAAACCTCTGTTCCAACCGCCCGGGGAATTCCAATCCAAATCTGCAAATCGTTCTCCGGCAATGGGAGACTCCAGCAACCACCAATCTCCTCCTCCCCCGTACGATCTCATAATCCTCGGAGCGTCCGGATTCACTGGCAAGTACGTTGTAAGAGAAGCTCTCAAGTTCCTCAATTCCCCATCTTCCCCTCTCAAATCCTTCGCCATCGCCGGCCGAAATCCTTCCAAGCTCTCTGAAGCCCTCAAATGGGCCGCCCATCCCAACTCTCCACCTCCCTCCATCCCGATCCTCTCCGCCGACACCACCGACCCTGCTTCCCTTCGCCTGCTATGCTCCCAAACCAGGCTGCTCCTCAACTGCGTCGGTCCATTTCGTCTCTACGGCGACCCTGTCGTTGCCGCCTGCGCCGAGACCGGCTGCGATTACTTGGATATCTGTGGGGAGCCGGAGTTTACGGAGAGAATGGAAGTCAATTACCATGACCAGGCGGTTGAGAAGGGCTCTCTGATCGTTTCGGCTTGTGGGTTCGATTCGATTCCGGCTGAATTGGGGTGGATGTTTAATTCCAAGCAGTGGCCTTCCGCTGCAGTTCCGAACCAGATTGAGGCTTACTTGAGCTTGGAGTCGGAGAAAACCATTGTTGGCAATTTCGGGACTTATGAATCGGCCGTCCTGGGTGTTGCCAACATGGACAAATTGCAAGAGCTTAGAAGATCCAGACCCAAAAGACCTAGGCCAACGGTGAGGAAACAACTTTTTTGTTACATTGTGCTACTTTTTTCAACACTCCGTAGTTAGCTTGCTGAATTGAACTGAGAGAGTGGAATTTGCTGATCATTTAGCTGGCTGTCCATTGATGCTAGAACGGTCTAACCTCTTTGGTAGGCAGGTTCGTTGACACTGCTCTGTCTGTAGTAGACTTATGCTGACTAATGCAGTGACTTAGCAGGGTAAAATGATTTGCTGCTATGACTATAACATTTGATGAATGGGAATTTTCTTTAATCATTAGGTAAGTCAGACTGTTAGTGGTAGCAGTATAGATTGAAATCCATGCTGATTCACGCCAGATGTCTAGATATAGTTGTCTAACTGGATGCCAGTCATGCTCTTGAAGTCTTGATATGTGAGAGTAATGTATTGTTGCTGTATTACTTTGTCTCTTTTCATGCTGATAAATGATAATAGCTACTCCGAAGGACCAATCATAGATCACCATTACCACAGCTTTGACAGTTAAGAGAGATCACAGTTTCCGCATTGCAATGTTTTGCAGATTCCTGGGCCATATCCTCCTAAAGGACCAATCATAGATCACCAAAAGGAGTTCGGTCTTTGGGCTATAAAGTTGCCGTCAGCTGACTCTATTGTGGTAAGAAGAACGCTCTCAACGCTAGCAGAACACCCTCACGGTCTTCCAGGAGTCAATGAGACCGGCGAGCAGATCGAAAAAAGGGAGAAATTCTGGTCTGCGATGAAGCCAGCTCATTTTGGGGTGAAGCTGGGATCCAAGAGCCTGTTGGGTGTATTTCGGGTCATCACTCTAGGCGTGTTCATGGGGATCTTGGGTAGAAGCTCCATTGGTAGGTGGCTGCTCTTAAAGTTCCCGTCGTTCTTCAGCCTTGGATGGTTCAAGAAGAAGGGTCCTTCCGAGGATGAGGTTGAGAGTGCTTCATTCAAGATGTGGTTTGTTGGACGTGGTTACAGCGACCTGAGTCAAGCCTCAGCTGGGGACAAGAACAAGAAGCCCGATGCAGAGATCATAACGAGAGTGATGGGCCCTGAGATTGGCTACTTGACGACGCCTATTGTGTTGCTCCAATGTGCTCTTATTGTTCTGGGACAACGTGACAGTCTCCCCAAAGGAGGAGTCCTCACTCCTGGGATTGTGTTTGGTTCGACAGATCTTCAGGAACGGCTCCAGCAAAATGGGATTTCATTTGATGTCATTTCCAGGAAAAATGTTCCTACTTAGTGGCTGGAGGCTCCCGAACATATCGAAGTAAGACATTGATGATCTATCACCAATAATTGTGAAGGCCGAAGATTGATTCGGGGTATTCCAATTACAGGTTGAAAGATTACTATATTAGGAGCGTTTTAGTGTTCATCTCTGTTTTAGATTTCCAGCTCTGTTGTATTAACTTTGATACCACTTGTATCAACCCTCATCTCATCATAACGAGTCAGGGGTCAACATATGTTGAATCATGTCAAGTTAGTGGTCAAGACAAATCATGTTGTTTCATAGAGTTATTTTGAACCGATCCAATTTGGCTTGAGTGAACCTATTGGTTTTGGGTTATCATAGTCTAAATCCTTCAATAATATACATAAGATTTTTCTCTACTTTTTCTTCAAAATTTGCTGCATTCTTTCAATTAAAGTCATAAAGTAAATGACTTATCTGCCACAATAGTTAGCACTCCATATCAACCAATAATTTTAAATATTTTACAACACGAGTTGTCTTCATATAATTAACTCTATAAATCAACAAAGTGATTTTCTCTAATCACAAAGATTTTCACCAAGAATCAGATCATAAAGTTTGAGTTGAAGTGTTGTATTAAAACTTATAAATTGATTAAGTCACAAGATTTGTGAGAATACAAGGACTATCCTCGAAAGATGTATACAAATTTGTATTTCAAAACACAATAATTTGACATACTGCGATCCATCTATGATCACAAGTTAATTCTTTGAGTAAAAGGGAATGTAATAGTTTTGTAAGGAAATATTTTCAATGGTTGAAGTGAATGATAAGAAAATCACTAGTTAATAATTGCACTAAGGATTGAGAATCATAAACATATAACTAACTAAATATCTTTACAAATGAGTCAAAAGCATCATTGGTTGATCTTTGAATTTAACAATCAATGTGGTGTATATATGGTGCGAAGAATATTATGGTACCCTTAATAAATTTGTGGAAAATTACCACGTACCTTTAATAAAGTAATGTTATCTAGACCATAATTTAATAAGAATTTGGGGTACTATACCATGACTTGATTCTCTAAACCTTGTACCATATTTTTCTAAACTCTAATGGCGCATATGGTACATTGGATATATCTCGACAAATCAGAATCATCGAATATTATTCACAGTGTAATTGATCATATTGTTTAAGGTTTAGAGGATTAGGTTCTAGAATTTACTAAGGGGTCGTTTGGAAGTTGGGAATGTTAAATCGTTGCATTGTAATGAATCACGATAATACAAATGCATGTATTGATACAATGGATGCATTTTAACAATACATTGTTTGGTTGTTGAGATTCTACTTTATACATAAAGTTACTTTTATGGGGGAAATGTCATATTTACCCTCAACTTTTAGTATAAGACAAAATCTTTTAGGGATATAATTGGAAAGAAAAAGTTTACACAAATCTAAAAGCAACAATCACAACAATCTCATTAGTTGAGATTGTACAATGCATCATTTTTTGTGAAATGTCATATTTACCCTCAACTTTTAGTATAAGACAAAATATTTTAGGGATATAATTGGAAAGAAAAAGTTTACACAAATCTAAAAGCAACAATCACAACAATCTCAACTGTTAGTTGAGATTGTACAATGCATCATTTTTTGTGATTGATGGTGGGACCTACCTAAAACAATGCATGCATTGTTTTACACTTTGTCACTTCCAAACATTGTATTGTGCATAGTACATGTATTCAACAAACACAACTTTAACAATCACAACTTCCAAACGACCCCTAATTTAAGTTTAGGGTCTATGACTCACCTCTTCAAGAATTAGGGTTTCAGATTTACTGAATGAGGGTTTAGAAATGTATAGTGATCAAGTATCTTCACTAACACTATGTTTCCGAAGGAAGGGAGGAAAATGGAGGGGAGGGGAAGGGAATTGGAGGGGAGGGACAATTTGGAGGTTAAGAAAATTGGAAGGAAAATGGTGTTATATGGAGGAAAGTGGGGAGGAAAATGTGTATTGGGAACTGTGATGGATATGTTATTTTATTAGGTATATAACAGTAAAATAATTTGATTATATTATAGGAATGACAAAAATATCCTTAATCCCGAATATCCGTCCGAATCCGACCTAATCGAATAGGGTAAAACCCGAACCCGAAAGACTTTTAGCGGATACAGGTTAAACCCGAATCCGAATATTGCGGGTAATGAGTGGGCATGGTTTTCTCACTATCCAACCTAAACCCATCCAATTATACACATGCATAAGTATTTTGTCTAGATATAATCATTTTTCCCTAACATATTTTATATTAGCATATAAATATAATATTTTTACAAAATTATGTTGTTTTAATTAATTTTCTTCATTCTAATGATTTTTTTTCATTAATTATAAAATTCATGTGACCAAATACCAGATCGGATTATACTCTGTATGATGTCATCCATAGAACAATTGTATAATATTATTATTTGAGGGAGAAGGTGGTTTTACAATGTGAAAAGAAGATGATCATTTAGCCATTTTCCCTCCTATTTGGGGGTAGGGGGGAACAGTGAGTGAGCCTCCGTCTTTCCTTCCCCGCTTTCCTTTCCTCCCTTTAAAAACAGGGTTAAATGTCTCGATTCCTACGCTTTCCCTTACCCATTTTCCCTCCCCTCCTTTTCCTTGCTTAAGAAACAGAGTGTAAGAAAATCTCTCAATATTTTAAAGCGAGATAAGAACAATGAGCATTGTACTATATAAGATAAGTAGATAACAAACCAAGTATCTTGATTCTTAAATCTTGACATAATTAGTATCCTACCACGAGAGTTACACACCTCAAATGAGGACACGAGTCAACATAAGATAATTGAGTCTTACTAGTTGAAAAATGATAGATGTTAGAAACTTTTAACTTTATAATAATTAATAAGTTTAAGGAATAGTCTATATTTATTCCTTAAACTTATTGACATCATGGTCGAGAAACTATTTTTAACGGGTCAATGTTTCATTAATTTGCATGAAACTTCCAAGAAATAGATAAAAAAAATATTTTTGAAAGAGTGATTAAACCAATATTAAAGAATCAAATACACAAAACAATTTAAGTTACAAGATAAGTTGATTAACATAAATAATAATCAAAACTCAATCTCCCAATAGATCAACACAAAGCTAGTTGTTAAAGATGGAACAACTCAAGAAATAGAAACCCAAAACAAATTCCAACACATTTAGACTGTCAACCTATCCGGAATACTTAAACTGGGCACGACTAAACTTGGAGATAAATCATTTTCTCACACAACCCCAAAGGCCCAATTAGAGCACCCATCACTTAGTAGAGACAACTCTCCTTGAAATGACATCAAAAGAAATCCCATTATGCTCGAGACGCTCTCGGAGATTAGTCGGACCAAACACGATCCCTGGAGTGAGAACTCCTCCTTTGGGCAAGTTGTCACGTTGCTCGAGAACAATCAAAGCACATTGCAGCAAGATGATAGGGGTCGTCGAATAGCCCGCATCAGGACCCATGACTCTTGTTATGATCTCCGCATCGGGCTCCTGCTTCTTGTTCCCAAACTCTGTCGATGTCCTTCGGCTCAAGTCACTGTATCCGCGTCCGACAAACCACATCTTGAAGGAAGCGCTCGCGACCTCGTCCTCAGAAGGACCCTTCTTGCTGAACCATCCAGCGCTAAAAAATGATGGGAAGTTGAGGAGTAGCCACCTTCCAATAGAACTTCTACCCAAGTAGCCAATAGAGACGCCAAGAGTAATAAATTGGAAGAGACCCAAAAGGGAATTAGACCCCAACTTCAACCCAAAATAAGCAGGCTTCGTCGCCGACCAATATTTCTTCCTCCTCTCAGTTCGGTCGTCACTCTCTTTAACCCCCGGAAGACCTTCAGGGTATTTTGTTAATGTCGCAAGCGTTCTACTTACAACTGCAGTATCCGCCTATGGAAGCTTTAGGAGCCAAAGACCAAACTCCTTTTGGTAGTCTATGGTTGGTCCTTTATTAGGATATGGCCCAGGAATCTGCAACAAAAATGAAGCATCAATATGGTCCACCTTGAATAATTGTTCTGAAATATAAAATTGCAGTGTGTTTGTCTGTCCTTTAACCCCAACTTATTCAAGGTGAGTTTAGAAACTTATTTGACAAACTAACTTCACATGTTTTACTTGCATGATTCACATACTATTGGATAATTTGTCTCGTGATCTATTTTGATTAGTGCACACGTTGACAATAATTTACTAAATTATCAACATGTACACTGAATAACTATAGAACGCAAAATACGGCGACCTAACACCAATACGCGTTAGAAGTTAGAACCCATATTGCATTATTTGATGATACATGAGTATGAAATTGTAACAACAACAAAAAGTTCACAAAACAATATTCATAATGCAATAGAATGTTAGAAAAGATGATGAATGCAATAACTAACAGAAGTGACTTGCTAACCTTGGGCTTAGTCCTTCTGGGTCTGGATCTCCTCAACTCTTGCAACTTGTCCACGTTGGCAACACCCAGAACCGCCGATTGGTAAGTCCCGAAGTTGGCAACAATGTTCTTGTCCGATTCCAAGCTCAGGTAAGCCTCGATCCGGTTTGGCACAGCCGGGTAGACCCACTGCTTCGAGTTAAACATCCAACCCAGCTCAGCCGGAACCGAATCGAACCCACAAGCCGAAACAACCAACGAACCATTCTCAACCGCTTGGTCGTGGTAACTGTATTCCATCCTCTCCATAAACTCCGGCTCCCCGCAGATATCCAAGTAGTCGCAGCCGGCCTCGACACAGGCGGCCACGACAGGGTCGCCGTGGAGGCGAAACGGACCGACGCAGTTGAGAACGAGCCTGGTCTGGGAGCAGAGCAGGCGCAGGGAAGCAGGGTCGGCCGTGTCGGCGGTGAGGATTGGGATGGACGGAGGTGGAGAGTTGGGCTCGGCGGCCCATTTCAGGGCTTGGATGAGCTTGGAGTTGTTTCGGCCCGCAATGGCGAAGGATTTGAGAGGGGAAGATGGGGAGTTGAGGAACTTGAGTGCTTCCCTTACGACGTATTTGCCGGTGAATCCTGATGCTCCTAGGATTACGATGTCGTAGAGTACCGGAGATGGGTTGCTGTCGTTGTCCATTTTTGGGGAAATGATTTGCAGAGAGAAGATGTAGAGATGGTTACTATATATAGATTCAGAGTTGAAAAGAATGCCATTTCTCGGGCTGCTTTGTATAGTAAATAGTAAGTGATACATAGGGATGGCAATGGGCGGGTTTGAGGCGGGTTTGTCTAAACCATTTCCATCTTCAAATCCCCAAATCCATACCCGCCCCATACCCAATATTATTATACCTAAAATTTACAAGAAAAATTTTAATTATTACTTTAAACGAACCTATTATATCATGAAGTCAACAAAACACGATCATTTTCTTAATATGGTTCAAAGTATATGATCCTAAAACATCCATTAATACATAATATAGAGTATAATATTTTTCAATCTAACTCTTATACATCTACTAAGTAATAAGTAACTAACATAATCTTGTAGACAAGGGGAAAAGTGAAAGAGTGAAGGGAGAATTGAGGGAAATGAATTAGATTTTGATTAAAATGGTCACTCAATTGCATTTCTACTATTTATTTCCTTGAGTTATCCTCATCACAATTGATAGATTACAATTTAATCCACATATTTTTTTATATGTGAAGAAATTCTCTTGGTGGGGGGTATGGGTATGGGGCGGGGGAGGTCAAAACCCTACCCGCCCCATACCCATCAAACATTTTGCGGGTTTTACCCATACCCGCCCCATATCCGGTCAAAGTGGGGATTCCCCCCGTTGACTGGGTTGGCGGCGATCGAATACCCGCGACCAGGGGCGGATACATGGGACTCTAGGGGTGTCCCGGGACACCCCTAAAATTTGGGGACACGATTATCCAACCTCCGGTAGTAGTTTCGTATGGGTATACAAAATATAATTGGTAATCCGGGACACCCTAACATTTGAAAAAATGATTATCCTACCCTCGATAATAGTTTGCTTATGATTAACAAAATATAAGTGGTAGTCCGTTTTATTCCAACCCAGGACGCTACTATTATCAAACATATTCTAATTATGTTGCTACTCATTTGTTATTCTATTTTAAACATCATGCAACAGTAAAACGCTATTTCTTTATCCCCAACTATTTTCAATACCTAATAATTAAACTACGTACACGCTACCCTTAATTTTGAATTGATTTTATGGTTACACGACAAGTGTTGAAAGAGTCTTTCCTACTTTGAGCTACATTAAGAACAAGGTTAGAAATCGAATATGTGATAAGTTCGTGAAGTATTGTCTAGTAGGATATGTAGATTTTTTTTGAACAGTGTTGACACGGAGTTTATTTATATTTTTTCAAAATATGAATTTTAATTTATTATTTAATAAAAATTTTATACAAATTATACAAGTATGATATTTTTAATATACGAATTATTTAATTTATTATATAATTAAATTTAATTTTTGAAGAGGACACCCCTGTGAAAATTTTCTGAATCCGCCACTGCCCGCGGCCATGGGTTTTATTGACATCCCTAGATATCACATTCACATGCTATAGGCCTAATGTGGAATTTTACCACAAAGATGCTTCAAGATACGAGTACAGTTTTTATTATAAACGAATTTGGGTTAATTGCAAGGTTGGTCACTGGGTTTACTAAAAACGTTCATGTTTGATCACTCCAAATATTTAATTCCATTCATGGTCACTAAGATTAGTTAAATAGTTTAAGTTTGGTCACTCTCCGTTAGTTTTTGTTGATGTGGCAGTCAACTATTATAGTTGACCATTAAATGAGTGACGTGGCCATTAAAAAATAATAAAATTTAAATATTTATAATTTCCACCTCATTTCACAACTATTAAAAATTAAAAATAAAACTTAATAAATGGCCTCCGCCATCTACGCCACCACGATTCTGATCCCTTCTCCTTCGATTTCTCTCTGCTTCCTTCTGATTACTCACCCGCCGGATATTCTCCCTTCTATTCCCTCCCTCACAAACCCTAGGATTCCAGAGGAGTGAACAAGACCAGCCCAGGCATCGCTCACTTCCAAATGGCGACCACTACCAGTCTCAGCGGCGGCGACGGAGACGATCGCGTCATTAACAGCTCCCTCTCTTCAATTTCGGGGCCCCACGAACGATACCCACCCAATTCGTTATCCGAATTCCGCCTCCCGAATTTCAGTTCAATCAGAAGCCAAGGCACCGTGTAAAACTGGCTCTTAATTCTTATCCCATGGAAACGGAAAATCTGGCGGCCAATTTCAGCTACCTCGGGAGGAGCTTTATACGGCAACATCTGTTGCGTCAACACCGACTCCTCCTCCTCCGCCTTCAGCGACTGCAATAGCGACCGATCTGGCGAGTTCCCCACCACCTCCACCGAGAGCCGCCGCCTCCTCGTCTCCTGCGCCACCGACAACTCCGACGACCTCATGCTCCACCTCGTCTCCAGCCTCGACTCCTGCGCCATCGACGAGCAGAAGCAGGCCGCCATGGAGATCATGCTGCTCGCCAAGAACAAGCCCGAGAACCACCTCAAGATCGCCAAAGCCAGGGAGATTCGGCACCATGGATCAGAATAGTGGTGGCGTAGATGGCGGAGGCCATCTATTAAGTTTTATTTTTTAATAGTTGTAAAATAAGGTGGAGATTGTAAATATTTAAATTTTATTATTTTAATATTTTTTTTTAATGGTCACATCACTTATTTAACGGTCAACTATAATAGTTGACTGTCACATCAGCAAAACTAATGGAGACTAACGGAGAGTGACCAAACTTGAACTATTGAACTAATCTTAGTGACCATGAATGAAATTAAATATTTGGAGTGACCAAATATGAACGTTTTTAGTAAACCCCATGACCAACCTTGCCATTATCCCAAATGAATTTTATATGAAAAATATAAGTACAAACTGAATTTATAGGAATATTTATGAGCATAGTAACAAAACTCTTGTCCCAATGCATCCTAGTAGCCGCCACCTACCATTGCATATTAGCCGCCCCTGCTGGTTGTGCTTTCTTCAACCAGTACGGCAGTACATTTATTAATGTGGGGGGTGTGTGGTTAATTACTTAATTAGAGGCGGAAAAAGAGTGATCAGTGACAGTGAGCATGTGTTGTTCATCGTTTTGGAAGACTCGTACTGAAAGTCTTCCTAACAAATCACTTTACTGGCCGCCACTATGCTCCTGCTAATTGTTCTGGCTTGATCTCTAGCTAGATCCGCCCCCACCATTAGATTCTGCATGGCTCGTGCTCCTGTTCTCATGCTTTATATTTTTGGTAGCTTTCTTCCATATTGTTGAATTTTTTTTTTTTTATGAATTCCATATTGTTGAAATTTATTAATGAATGGAATGCACTATAAAGTAGTTTGACGTTGAAATCCTATGCATTCTATTGTTTCTTGTATGCTTTATGAGACTTATGATACGCATTCTAGTGTTGCTAAGATGCTTTGTGGACTCTGTTATGCATTCTTGTGTTTTTGTCATGTTTGTTATGTTTGTGGTATGCATTATGCATTCGAGTTTTTTCAGTATATATTCCTCAGTTATAGGTATATATAAACTTAGTTACAAACCATGTTTCGATTATGGGAAACTGAAGGTCATATATTTTAAATTATAAAATATTAAAAGGATTAGAATTAATACAAATTTGATTTATTATTTAGTGTGTGTTTTTCACCCTATCAATATCCTTTTTTCTATTGATAATTATTGGTGGTGACATTATTAAACACTATAGGTGTTATTATACTATCTTTTCTCGAGGTTGTTCCTACTGCTCATTAGCCAACACGTGAAATCCAAGATATTTAATCTTTAACCAGACAAAGTATATATGTATAGCTAAAAATTCACTACAAGAATTCCCTCTTGTAGCTACGAATTATTAGCCATAAATTAATGATAATAGTGTAGTTAAATACAAATAATAACCACATAAATTATCTACCGTAGCAATTAACGAAAGATTTAGTCACAAATGTGTTTACCTGTAGCTCGTTTTGGTATTATGCTTCACATTTTGAATACTATAGCAAGTAGTATCCTCTAGCCATAAAAGGTCTAGCTATGTGAAACCATCGTAGCATATTATTTTATTTAGCTACGAAAGTCACCTGTCTGTGACAAAAGTGAATGTAACATGCAACTTTCAGCCATAAAAAGCAAAATGGTAACTACTTGTTGTGATTAGCTAAATATTTGAAAGTGGTATAGCTAGTAACTAGAATGTCTGATGTACCACTATACCCATCTTTGTTCATTTTTTTAACAGAATCAGAGGTCTTATTAACACCATTAACGACAAATGGAGGCGGACTTCATCTCGACTCTCATGATTGTTCAAAATAAAATAATTCATGAAATACAAGTCTAAAACAAACTACAACACATTACATTGTTGTCAACCTATACATATTACTTAAAATGGAAAAGACTAAACTTGGAGATAAATAGATTTCTCACACGACCAAAGGTTCAATTAGAACACCCATCATCTAGTAGAGCCAATTCTCCTTGAAATGACATCAAAAGAAATTCCATTTTGCTGGAGTCGTTCTTGGAGATCCATCGGGCCAAACACGATCCCAGGGGTGAGAACTCCTCCTTTAGGCAGACTGTCACGTTGACCTAGAACGATCAGAGCACATTGTAGCAAAATAATAGGAGTCGCCAAATAGCCCGCATCGGGACCCATAATTCTTGTTATGATCTCCGCATCGACCTCCTTGTCTCCAACATTTGTTAACGTCCTCAAGTCACTATATCCACGTCCAACGAACCACATCTTGAACGAAGCGCTCGCTACCTCGTCCTCGGAAGGACCCTTCTTGTTGAACCATCCAAGGCTGAAAAATGATGGGAAGTTTAGGAGTAGCCACCTTCCAACAGAACTTCTACCCAAGAGCCCAACGAACAAGCCTAGAACAATGAATCGAAAGACACCTATCAAGCACTCAGAGCCCATCTTCAACCCAAAATGAGCAGGATTCACCATCGACCAAAATTTCTTCCTCTTCTCAATCTGACCATCACTCTCATAACATCCCGGAAAACCATTAGGGTGTTTTGTTAACATTGCAAGCGTTCTACTTACAACTGCAGTATCCGCTGATGGAAGCTTTATGACCCAAAGATCAAATTCCTTTTGGTAATCTATGAGTGGTCCTTTATGAGGATATGGCCCAGGAATCTACAACAACAATGAAGCATAATGAAGCATTAATATGGTCCAATTTGAATAAATTTTTTTTAATGGTCTCCATACTTTAAATATTTGTTCCGAAACCTTAAATTGACCATCTTGAAAAAAATCAATCACTAGGCGATGACATGACACCCACATTGAGTTTAGTAGGATTTTACTTAGCATGGATACTAGGTAAAAATAAAATGCATAGAAGGAACTTCATAACCAGTTATAATGTTTTTCATATTTTGATAATTTCTAGAAATTAAATGGGACAAACTAGCGGAGATAGTCCAAAATTTCAAATAAATTATAATGAACTTGTTCATTTTACACAAAAACTTCAAAATACAAGTAAAAAAACAAAACTGGTACATAGTAGTACCAAAGTGCTAACATGTGGTACCGGGAAAAAAAAATTCTCAAAATATATTGAAAATTTATATCAATTTGTATATCACAAGAACAAGAAGCTAGTTCCATCTGTAATTTTTTTTTGAAATTCAAGTTAAAACAACAACAACAAAAACGATTAGAAAAAATATGAAAAATATAAATCTTACACTATCACCCATTATATCTGACTCCACTTAAAATCAAGAGTACATATATCTATTATACTAGGGGTGAAAGCTTGATCCGAAAGACCCACTGACCCGTCCTGACTCTAAGGGACGGGACGGGTCAGTTTGTCTACAGGCACAAATTAGAGACGGGTCATTTGTTGACTCTGTAAGGGCTGGGACGGGTAGGGACAACTTAGGGACGGGTCACGTTTTGACCCTGTGACCCTTAGCAACAACAAATATCTCACACCACATTCGACCTTTTTGTAAAGTTTCAAAAGTTTAGGTACTAACCTGTAAAATAAAAAAATTGGGGTACCAAAATGTAATTTTACCATCAAAATTTATGAACTTATTTGTAAAAAAATAAATTTTAGGTACTAAATTGTAATAAAAAATAATTTTGGGTACCAAAACATAATTTGTAAAAAAGTAGTGTGCTGATTAGGGTCGACCCACCGTCCCGTCCCGTCCCGTCCCAACCTTTAAGGGTCAGACAGGGTCAAGAAGTAGAAAGGGACGGGACAAGTCAGCTATACATCTTGACCCTTCAAGACGGATCAGACAAGATCAGAGACTGGACAGGCAAATTTTCATCTCTATATTATACAGCACCCATCTTCAACATGTTAGAACCGTATCCGAGTATGGTAATATACTAATATTAATATATTAGAAAAAAGTCATGGAAAAAAAGCATAATGCAACAACGTAAAGTACCGAAAGTTTCTTCCTCACCTTTGGCTTAGACCTACTGGGTCTGGATCTCCTCAACTCTATCAATTTGTCCATGTGGGCAACCCCAAGCACCGCCGATTCATAAGTCCCGAAGTTCCCAACAATGTTCTTATCAGATTCCAGGCTCAAGTAAGCCTCAATCCGGTTAGGCACAGCCGGATAAACCCACTGCTTCGAATTAAACATCCAACCCAGCTCAGCCGGGACCGAATCGAACCCACAAGCCGAAACAACCAACGAACCGGTCTCAACCGCTTGGTCGTGGTAACTATATTCCATCCTCTCCATAAACTCCGGCTCGCCGCAGATGTCCAAGTAATCGCAGCCGGCCTGGACGCAGGCCGCCACGACAGGGCCTCCGTGGAGGCGAAATGGGCCGACGCAGTTGAGAACGAGCCTGGTCTGAGAGCAGAGCATGCGTAGTGAAACAGGGTCGGCGGTGTCGGCGGTGAGGATTGCGATGGACGGAGGTGGAGAGTTGGGCTTGGCGGCCCATTTGAGGGTGTCCAAGAGCTTGGAATGGTTTCGGCCCGCAACGGCGAAGGATTTGAGAGGGGAAGATGGGGAGTTGAGGAACTTGAGTGCTTCTCTTACGACGTATTTGCCCGTGAATCCGGATGCTCCAAGGATTACGAGATCGTAGGGAGGAGATGGGTTGCTGCCGTCGTCGTCCATGGCCAAATTGAGAGGGGATATCTGCAAATGGCGTTGGAGTTGAAGTGCGTGCCATTTCTGGGGCTGGTTTGTGCTAAAGTAATGTGTGGGCATATGGCGGATGGCCTAATAGCTAGGCCTACCTTCTGGAGAATTCTGTGGCATTAAAGTTTTGGCTGTAATTATCGCTAGCTCCACCACCAATAAGTAGGGCTGGCAACGGTCGGTTTCGGTTTAAAACCGAAGTCTCGATTTTCTGTTAAATCGAGACCTGACCAATACCCACCGTCGATCGACCGCCCCAGCAGTTTCGGTTAGCTGCAAACCGACCGGGACAACCGAAAAATGTGAAGACCAGTTCGGTTTACATGCCTAACCGACCGGTAACCGCCAAAACCGACCATAATAATGCATCATGGAGAGGGAAGAAGAAGGCCAACTCTGTTTTCTTTTCCCCCCAAACCCCAACGGAAGAAAGAGCAGCTTTTTCCTCCCATCACATGGCCATCACCGCCCCCCTAATTAATTGAGAAAGGAACTGTTCCCCACCTGCCACAACACCAGCTTTCCCCTTTTTCCACCCTACACAATTCACATCACATCCTTTCTTTCTTTTGCTTTGGTTTTTCTCTTTACACAGCCAGTTCAATTCTTGGGTAGCTTGTTCTGTTTTTGAACACCCTGAAAACCATTTACTTCATGCATTATTCTGTTCCTCTGTCACAAACGAATGAAACCCACTTGCTGTTGCTTGTGTTGGGAGGGTGACGAGCTGCTGCTGGAGTGCTGGTCTAGGCGGCGGGGCGACGAGGGTGGAGGCGACGGGGCGATGTCGACGATGGCGGCGGGTGCTGGGTTGTTGTCTGGGTTTCGAATCCCTCAACTGCAATTAATCAGCGCTACTCTTATCCGTGCCCCAGCGATACTCTGTTACCTCCCTTGAATCCGTCAATTGCAATTAATCAGATCTCCAATACTCAGTTGCCGCTTCACAAGAAATTCTCGGAAAACCTTATCGAGTTCGAATCTACCGACAATGACGGTTGAGAGAAGCAGAAACTCGGATATATCGGCGGCAGGGAAACCGCTCAGGGTTACAATATCCCTGGTGGAACGTCGACGATGGTGGAGGGTTGGAGCTCTCTACGCGAGAAGACGAGAAGGGGAAGTGGGTTGCGCGATTGATTTGGGAATTGGGAGGAGGAGGGCCGACTGCCGAGGGTCGATTGCTTAGGGTTAGTGGTAGGGCTGAAGCGGGGTCGTTTTTGGGGAAAGGGAAGGGGGTCGGTTAGCCAGTTAACCGTCGGTTACCGACCGCGGTTAGTCGGTTAGCCCAATCCCTGCCCTTGTCCACCGCCAACCGACCGATGTATTCAGAATTGATTTTTCGGTTAGCCGAAAACCAAAAACCGATCGATTTCGTTGAAACCTTCTGGTTAACTGCTAACCGAAAACCATTCTGCCAGCCCTATCAACAAGCAATAATCAATCCTCCATGGCTCCGGCGTCAGTTCTTGTTTCCTTGTTTATTGGGTTTCTTGGATGTGACATTTAATTGGGTAGAGGGGAGAAATTGGGTAGGTGGGGACAGAGAAGGAAGCATGTGTTGAACGTTTCCCAAATATACCTCCATTTTTCACCATTTCAGTTGTACTCGCTATATGTTTAGAGTTGGATTGTAAAATGGCATCGAAACGTCAATAGTAGAATATTTTTATGTTGAAATTTTGGTTTAATCGTGGTTCGACTGTTTCATACCGTTGAAAGTCATCTACCTATTTAAGCTCCGATATATAGAAGTTGTTCTTGGTTGGACCACTGATACGGTAATACTTGTGCTACGTTGTAGGGGATTTAGAGCAAATGTAATGGTGCAACCAACTCCGTTGCCTGGTGCTTTCAATTTCGGAAATGCTGTGTAAGACAGGCAATGGTGATATATATCTGCCATCGTCCCCGCCTCTGCCTCGGTGCTTACCGTAGCAGTGGTCACTGTTGTGGAACACACCAAATTGCACAAAACCGTTTTAAGGTACACAATATCTCTAAATTAGTGTCTGGGGTACATGAAAATTTCTTTTCGTATATATCCTATCCTTTTCTACTTAATTAAGTAAACCAGATTTCCATGGAACTCATTCATTATTGGAGGGGGTAAAAAGTAAAAACTAGATTTCCGATCATCATAGTAAGAGAGAGTCCTGCTATTTATTTCCTCCAAGTATGGCGCCTTCAACTCTAGGCGCATAGTTGGAGCTGGCCGGCAATACTAGTAAATATTCCGTTTAACCCCTCATGCAGACTATCATATTCACGCGGAGATTATTGCAATCCAGATTTGGGTTTAAAGAGAAGAGCTCCTCCATTGTGATGCCGACTCTTTCCACCAAAGAGCTGCACGTGTCTGTTAGACGCACCCGTGTTACTCCTGTACAATACTCCCCATGCGCAGCTAACACGTACGTACGTATTATATACAGCAAACCAAGTTCAGCTCATCACATCAGTAGCTTGCTAATTAATTAAAAATAACAGCAGATCGATCGAGAGAGGGATCGATGATGGAGGAAATGATTTAATGAACATGCATATATATAATCACCTGCAAAGATTGGAGATCGGCCAACATCGGCATGGAGAAAGAGTACTGCGGCAATTATTACCATCACCAGAAGAAGAAGAGGAAGAGATGGGGAGATTCTCCTTCCCAACGTGGTTCCAGACTTCTTCATCATCATCGTCGTCATCGTTCTATATAGATTGTATAATTGTTTTAAGAAATTATGTTTCTATTTTCCCTCTGTTTGATAAATGACCCGATCCCGCCGGCCTTATTTATACTAGTGCATGCTCCGTCAGAGAGGCATGAAACCCGAAAATTTGAGCTTATTAGGAAATTCAATAATAAAATGAAGAAGAAGAAGAAAGACAGTTTTGTTAGCCATGTTCTCATTTCTCTCTCAATTCTGTCCTTTGTGCTCATTTGTAGATGTTTAGCCCGGTCGTCGGCCGGCATTATCCTTCCGGCGATACCTTCCTTCTTTATTCCGGCATATCTATGACGATGATAATAATTCCCCTCAATTATATATGTCTATTTTTTTTTTGGGTAAATACAATATATTAGCCATAACTATTAAGTGACGGGGAATTATAGCCACAACTATCGAAATACAAATTATTAGCCATAACTATTGTTGCGGGTCAAGATTTGGCTAACAGTCGTTACTGTTTTCAAATTTTTAACGGAGAAGGCCATGTCAGCATTAGTAAAAAATATTATATGATGACTGCCACGTGGGAGCCAGCTCAGCATCGTAAAAATTTAGTCATCATTACTAACAGAACTGTTAACGAAAAGTTAGCGGTTGGCTAATAATTTGTATTTCGATAGTTGTGGCTATAATTCCCCGCTGCTTAATAGTTATGGCTAATATATTGTCTTTGCCTTTTTTTTTCTTCCACTACTTCCCACATAGAAATCCTACTGCATGCCGACAAATGATAGTTTATTCGTTAGCTAGGTAGCTAGCTAATTATTACATCTTGGTCAGACAGAGTATTTGACAACCTCTTTCTATCTCAATTTTTAAATTCCTAGTTCTCACATCAAAGCCCTACCTACTTTCTGCAGAGTGCTGGTTCTTGTGGCATTAAAGTTGTGGCTCATCGTCATCGCTAGCTGCCTAGCTCCACCACCAATCAATAATAGTCCTCCATGGCTCCCGCGCCAGTTCTTTCATTGTACGTGTTTACACCATAAAATTTGTCTTGTACCACATTGGTGAGTTACAAGATAATTAATGAGTTTATAAGGCCACCCCCATTATAACAATTAATGTTGTTTCAGTTGGGCCTTATGGATATTGATTTTAAGCCCAAGCCACTAAGTCTAAAGAGGGACATGCCGCCTCATCAAACAAAGTCGCGTCCGTATGAGATCTAGAGGCCATGCCGACTCAACGAAGAGGCCATGCCGCCTCACCAATAAGACCGAAGGAGTGAAAATTTAACTAAGTCCGGAAGAGGCCATGCCGCCTCATCAAAGAAGAACACGTCCATCTAGAATAAAGAAGCACATGCTATCTCAAGGAAGGCCCGGTATGTGAAAAATATTCTAAGTATGAAAATATAGGGCCATGTGGATGATTAAGATGTCCATGGCCGTGTCATATGTGACAGCCATGGACACGAGACAAGAGGACCTGGGCGCGTGAAAAATACTAAGTATGAGGAGGCCAATGCCTTCCAAAGGAAGAGGCCACAGACATGAATAAGAAGTCCATGGTCGCGAATAAAGAGACAATGCCGCCTCATGATCTAAATCAAATAACCAAAAATATTCTAAGTATAGGGAAGGACTTGCTGCTTCATGAGGGAGGCCATGTCCATGATTGAGAGGTCCATGGGTGCAAACAAGAGGCCATGCCATATGATAATTCTGAGGGGCCATGCCGCCTCACAAGAGGAGCCATGGACACGAAGGAGAATGACATGGGGATGAAATATTATATCACTAGAGACTAAGTCCCAAGAGGGCCATGGACATGAGTAAGGAAGTCCATGACCGTGATATATGCGGCAAGCTACAAGATCCTACGACGGTTTCAAGAGAGGTACCTAGGCAGTTGAGAAGTAACGGCTACTCATCCCACGTTCAAAGGACACGGCAGCCATGTTCCGAGGAAGCAGGGAGCAGTTCTTTTTGGAAGTTACTCTATGACAGTTTCTACGGCGGTTATCATCTCAAGGCCTATAAATAGGAGGAGGAGTCGACAGAGGAGAGCCCCGAAAAAATTACCACTCGACACCACTTGTCAAGTTTTTCAATCTTGTCTTTCCTCTGCAAATTTTTATCAATAGTCGTAGATCTGGAGCTCTCTCAGAACCTCCATAGGAGTAGGAGTAACTTAATGTAGATCTGTCTCGAGAGTCGTGTAAACATCGAACACCCTCGTTCGAACTGTGTTTGAAGAGGCGTGAACCGTGTTTAGTGATCGTTGTCCAAAGAAGTCAAAGGTGCAATCAATTTATTTTCAACGCAAGTTTCTCACAGGGAAACAAATTTGGCACACCTGGTGGGACACTTGTGGTCGATTCGATGGCTCCGAGGCGGAGGAATCTGGAAGGTGACGTTCCGGCTGGATTCGTGGAGGATCAGGTGGCCAACATCGAGCATGGCCAAGCATCTGACGCGGTTGCCGGAGGAAATGGTGGAGCAGAGACCTTGGTGGCGACTGCTCCTGGTGGAGATCTTGGTGAAGCCGTGGGGGCCCTTCGTCAGATGATGGAGGAGAACCGCAAGATGGTGGCTGACACCCATCAAGCCACGGAGGAGAACCGCCAAATGCAGATGGAGAACCGCCGCATGTTGGAAGAGACTCGGGCAAATACTCATCAGGTAAATTCGCAGATAGACTGTCTCAATTCTCGCCTAGATAGACGTTTTAGTCAATTGCTTGAAGTAGTCAACAAAAATGCAAATGAGGTGGATCAACTCCGACAGTCTTTAGGTAGACCAGTAGTGCAGTCAAGAGCTTTGCCATTAGATGGCATAGGCCTAACGCCTACTAATAGTGTTCTTTCTCCCGCCGGTGGTCGGAATGGCCAACCACGGCAAGAGACCTTGCCGCCTCAAACGGCAAGCCAACCACCTCCACGTCGAGTAGGCGATGTTGAGATTCCTGTTACAACTCAAGTGGGGGAATCGTCACAGGCACGCGTGGGAGTGGAAGTGGTACCCCCGCGTGGTGAAAACCTCGCCACCATGTTCAACACTCGAGTTGAGCAGCCACCCGTGCAAGTGGGTGCTCGTCCCTCTATCCCGGAGGCAAGACCCTACGTGGCTCCCGTGAATTTGGGAGTAGGAGGAGGCCTAGGTGGTAACATGGATCAAATCCCACCTCGAGGCTACCCGACTCCAATGCCACCCCATTTCAATGGGCATGGCATGGACCCCATTGGGTTTGTACCGTATGGGGGGCAACAAGGAGGGCATGAGGCCAACACTCTTAGAGATCAGGTGGCTCAACTCCTCACGGAGCAGTTTGGCATGGGAGTAAGACCTGCTATGCCACCTGTATACCGTAAGCCGTACCCAGAATGGGTAGATAGACTTTACCCGTTTCCAAGGGGATTCAGAGTTCCCGAGTTTGCCACATTCACAGGGACTGGAGATCAGTCCACTGTAGAGCACGTTGGACGTTTCACTGTCCAATGTGGCGATGTAGGAGATTTTATTAAGTTAAGACTATTTGGAAACTCGTTGACAGGACCAGCTTTTGCTTGGTACGTCAACTTGCCGTCTAACTCCATCCAGACTTGGCAACAGATGGAACAAGTCTTCCACGCTCAGTTTTACAGATCTGAGCCCGAGGTGTCCATGGCTGACTTGGCACGTATGCGCCAACAGCCAGGGGAATCGGTTGAGCATTTCTTGACTAACTTCAAGAATGCCCGTAACCGTTGCTTTGTTAATTTGACGGAGAGGGAGTTCGTCAAGCTGG